CCATAATTATTTGTAAAAAACTATTGGGAAAGCTTCTATGTACAGTGGTTTACTGCAATATCAGATCATTGCAGTTATAGCTGTTACTTTCCTTTCCTTAGGCTATGTATTAAAGTAGGAAAATAGTAAGAGAAGGATGTTAAGGTAGAGAAAAACAGTAATCAGTTGTTTAGAAAGCGAACATGTGTCAAAAAGCTAAAAAATATTTTGAAGATTGTGTGGTAGGTGCAGGGAAAAATACTTCATCGTCAAACTCATTGAGAATCTTTCATTGCTTCTAAAGCTGGGCAAAGAAAACACCTCTGTTCTCTTGGCTCCAGTGGCTGCTTTTTTATGGAGAGACATGGTGGGTAACCCACACATTTGTTTTAGGTAAACATCAGGAAAGTAGCATGAAGGATAATGCTATAACACCATTGTTGCAGCTTATCACAGTTTCTTAGGGATGAGGCTGCATTTCTTTTATGGAACAGATTACCTAAAAAAGTGAAATGACCTGGGTCTTTCTGGAAGACATATTGTCTTACTTTTATATCATTTTTCTGTACTGGGTACATGTGAAAATTGTTATTATTCATTAAGAGGGAGAATCCAAAACATTTCTATAGACTTCTATCCAAATCTCTACTGAACCATGAAAATCATAAAGTAGGAATACCAAGTGTCCCTGAAGCTGCTGCTTATTGTCAGGCTGGTAAATGAAAAAACAAAAAAACAAACAAAAACGAAACAAAACCAGCAATGATCCAGGGCCTGAGCATACTAGCCTGACATGTATTACAGAGGCTGTCTGAATGAAGTTTCTGCTGTGAAGGGCAGGCGGGGGAGTTGCACTGCTCTATCTTCATGAATTGTCTAAGTTATTCTCAATTTTAGTGTTGGAATTCCCCTGGATGATTAAATACTCTTTATCTCTCCGGGGGGACTCATAGTGGATTACAGCACACATATAAGGCAAACCTTCAATGCTTATTTACACGAACAATGATGTACAATATACAGATAAGGTAAAAAGGCCTTCTCCTTTTTTCCATCTCTGGCATCTGGAGGCGATGCTCAACTTCTGGCCATGGGCAGGTGCTGTTGTTCCATTTTCCATGCTGAAGGAGCCTTGCTGTCTGTAGACATCTTCAACCTTTTTGCCGGGATGTTGGGGTACGCTTTTACCTTCCTAGCGGACGGTATCTATTGAGCTACTCGCATTTCATGCTTTCGAATTGCTAGGTTGACAGAAGCTAGGACTAACAATCAGGAGCTCACTCTGACTCGCGGCTTTGAACTGTTGACCTTCTGGTCAGCAGCCTTTCCTGCAGCTAGCTGCTTTAACCACTGTGCTACTGCGGCCCTGGTTGTCTTGGGAGTCCCATTAACTTCTTGTACTAGCAGAGTTTATCATTCATTCTGTGGCTGTTCTTTTAGGATTGAATCAGGACTTCATGTCCTCTATGATAACTTTGTATATGTCCCAAGTAGTATATGATGCCACAGGACTCATTGAGTTAGTTTTCTGTGTTGGCAACATGATGGCAGTAGAATGTTTCATTGTTCTAGTTTTGTGGGCAGATCACTAAATGGCACACTTATACTTAGAACCTCTGAAGGGATGTGGGTACTTTTAAATATGTTGTCTGTCCCAGGAAATCTGTGAACCTGGATAAATTCCTTATGCCTCTTGGAAGAATTTCTTCTTGTCTTGGCAGCTGATTGTCTTGAAATCCTGTTTTCTGAATTAGGGAAATGGTTAGGAAGCGGAACACAAATTATTCCTGAGTGTCTATTCCTAGTTTGCAAGGAATCTGGCAGCAGTGCAGTTAATGGAATGGAGATTAGAGCATTGATGATGGAAAATGTGGAGCAGGTACAACTGCATACAAATTCTTTAAACTCAGCAGTTTATGTCAGCAAGTTCCTCTCAAATAAGCTGGAGCAAGTAGAAGAGCTGGCAGAAAAAAAGGCTGTACTCCAGGGGGAGGGGGGATCTTTGTTATCCTTTGGGGTTTGTTTTTCATACATATCATACAGATCCTTTAAAGATGCCAACCACACATGCAGGCAAAATGTCAGGAGAAAATGCTGCTAGAACATGGTCATACAGCCTGGAAACCACATATCACCTCAGTCATTCATGTTGTGAAAGCCTTATATTACAATATATATTATACAATATATATTAATATATTATAACAATATATTAAGACATCTTTTATGGGGGACAATCCATATTAAAATAATATGATTACAATTGATTTTGTGTTTATAAGCATTTGGTGTTTTTGTAATTGGGTTTCTAAACATTTGATAGCTGGGAAGGAAAACTGCAAAATTTCTCTTCTTACCAAGATGTTATAAAGAACTAGCGGTCCCCTGCCACGTGTTGCTGTGGCTCAGTCTGGTGATATGGAAAATAAAGTAATGAGAAAGTGTTGGTTTCTAATATATGTAATGTCTTTATGCTTGTGGGTAAACAGTATTTCTTGCTGTTTCTTTGTCAGTGTTGATGTCTGGTTTGCCTACATATTGTTCTTCTTTAGGGGTCCCTTTCAAATCTTTGATACTGCATCTGTCATATACATATGTGTGTGTGTGTGTGAATGGCTGGATAGCCCTTTGTCAGGAGGGCTTTGATTATGTTTTCTTGCTTTGGTGAAGGGAATTGGACTGGGTGACCTTAAGGCAGCATTTCTCAACCTGGGGTTTGGGACCCCTGAGGAGGTTGTGAGGAGGTGTCAGAACGGTTGCCAAAGACCACTAGAAAACACAGTATTTTCTGTTGGTCATGAGGGTTCTGTGTGGGAGGTTTGCCCCAATTCTGTCATTGGTGAACTTCAGAATGTTCCTTGATTGTAGATGAACTATAAATCCCAGTAACTACAACTCCCAAATGTCAAGGTCTATTTCCCCCAAACTCCATATGTATTTATATTTGGGCATATTGAGTATTCCTGCCAAGTTTGGTCCAGATCCATCATTGTTTGAGTCCACAGTGCTCTCTAGATGTAGGTGAATTACAACTCCAAAACTGAAAGTCAATGCCCACCAAACCCTTCTAGTGTTTTCTGTTGGTCAGGGGAGTCCTGTGTGCCAAGTTTGGTTCAATTCCATCGTTGGTGGAGTCCAGAAAGCTCTTTGATTATAGGTGAACTATAAATCCTAGCAATTACAACTCCCAAATGACAAAATCATTTTTTTTGAGTGATGGTCACTCCTTGTGTTGTGAGACGTTTTGTTGCCAAATTTGGTGTGATTTCGTTCATTGGTTCTTTTGTTTTTAGGGTACTCATTACGCACAGAGCATTTATATATATATAGATACAGAACAGTTTCTGTACAACGAAATTTGAATGGATTGCCATTCTTACACGCTTGCAGCTCTTAGAGTCACAGGCAAACTAATTTTTGTGGGATTTTCTCAAATTGAAAACAAGTTTTCCAGAAGTATGCAAGGCAGAAACAGTAAAGGAGAGAGATCCCTTCCTGCTTCTTTTGTTTTGTCAGATAAAGTCCAATGCTGGATACTACCCAAGGTTTCTAATGCTGTTACATAATGCTGAAATCTAAATAGGATCTTTTCTGACAGTAAAAGTTGCATTTTTGGGAGCTTAGTTTTTGCAACTTAACATACATAAAATATAGGAGCAAATTAATACCTGAGGTTGAAAAATAACTACTTCTGCATGAATGCTTAGACCAGTGGTTCTCAACCTGGGGTCCCCAGATGTTTTTGGCCTACAACTCCCAGAAATCCCAGCCAGTTTTCCAGCTGTTAGGATTTCTGGGAGTTGAAGGCCAAAAACATCTGGGAACCCCAGGTTGAGAACCACTGGCTTAGACAGATGTTTATTGGAATTACATAGTGTTGTAAAGCCCATGGCAACTCTATGCATTTACTTATATGAGAATAGTGGATTGGCTTTAGGTTTAAGCATAATTTAAGCAGACCCACTGACAAGTTAATAATTTCTAATGTTTTCATCATTTCCACATTTTCCTGTAAGCTCATAATTTTACAGTTTTAAAAATATCTAAATGATAGAATCTATCATTCTTACAATAGATTATAACCTTCACAAGAATAACAGAATGGGAACAGTTCAAGTGCTTGTGATCAGTTTCTATACCTTGCATCATATGCATGCATAACATTTTCAATTTAAATTTATGCATGAGGCCAACTTATACATAAATATATAAGTTATGTAGAAAGCTAGCTTACTGCTATTTGGAGATTAGTTTACAGGAAGCAGAGCACTTATTTTGACTTTGTGTCTGCTTTGAACTCACTAGGTTGCTGCCTTAGCTTGGGATCCTTATCTGATATGAATCTGGCAGAGTTGTTAGATGAATTACTGAGAAAATGAATAGGAAAAAATGGACATTTTAGAACACCAAGTAATAAGACTTCTCAATATTAATACTGAATTATTTTAGTCAGTTTGGATTCAAATATTGACATTTTTAGGAATTACCAAATGTTGAATCAAGATTTTTGTTGGCCATGGTTTGTTGCTTAAGCCACAGATTTCATGGTACTTAGCCAAATGACCTATAGCTTGTCTGCTCCACTTCTGGTTTGTTTTTCTCTCTCGAATTGTCAATTGCTGTTTCCAAATAGGTAGCATGCCATGAGTGTTCTTAAAGAAACAGTAAACTAAGGATTAGATATAATTTATGACTGTCTAGCATCCATATCTTGTTAGCAGAGACAGATTCAAATAACACAAAAAGCCAAATGCCAATAAAGTATGCACTGAATTTGCCATAACATTTGAACACTTTCACATTGGTTTTGATTCTCTTACTATTCAAATTATAATTTTTGTTACGTTGAGGCAGGGTTAAAATATTGTGTTATGGTTCTTTGGAGTGAAGGTGGAACTATCATTCTGAACCCCCCCCCCCCATGTGTAAAATGTTGCTAACTTTCTCAAAGTTGTTCTAATTGATTTTTCTTTAAAAATCATGGTTAAATATTGAATATTTCCCTTTTCATTTTTCAATAGGTAAAATATTATAGACATTTGGCACCTGATCACCTATTCCAGATATGCCATCGACTAGGACCACTTCTAGAACAAGAAATTCCACAGAGTGTTCCAGGAGTCCAAACATTGTTAGGAGCTGGAAGACAGTCTTTGCTTCGCACAAGCAAAAGTATGCCCATTATACAAAATGAATTGTATGTGAACTACATATATTTAGTTATCAAATATGTCTATACTTATATTTTTGTTTGATAATAAAACAGGCTGCAAGCATGTGGTGTGGAAAGGATCTGCTCTTGCTGCGTTGCACTGTGGAAGACCTCCAGAGTTGCCAATAAACTATGGCAATCCTGCTAGTATAGGTAAGAATATTATTACAGAAATGTGGATCATAGCATTTGTTCATAAATCTGTATTTAAAACCTGGATACATCTATGAGTATTCGTAAGGTTCTTCCCCAGTGTCTTTGAAGTAGCAGTACTGTTTGTGTGAAAACTGCAAGAATTGTCCCCTTCCCACCATGGAATAGAAGCTGTGAAAGAATTGGGATGATGGTGGTGGTGGTTTCTTGAATGCGTAAAAAGAGTCTAGAAAATAATTTGGCCACATACTAGCCTCCCTCCTCACTTTAACTATACTCCCTCCCTCCCTGATACCTTACTTATTATACCAGTTGGAAGAAGGTACCAGAACTTGATAACTTCTATGAGCACCTTGGACTTGATAAGTATATTTGTAGTGTAGTAAATTGAGACCCCCCTTTCTGCCCTCTCACTTCCTTTTTCCTTTTAAAATTGCTATTAAATGGTTTATTGTTTTGTTTCCACTGAAGGGCAACAGCAGAGGATATGTATGGTTCTGGTAAATACATGTAGCTTTCTTTGAGCAGATTGTTCACATGAGCTTTCTGTGAAGACTTCTGCTGTTACCTTTCCAATCTTTTAAAACCTCTTTATATTTTTTATTTACTTTATTTACTTATTCCAATAACATTTGTCATTTTAAATTTCCCCTTCAACAAAATCACTGGAAATACAAATCTTTTGAAACAGAGACATTGTGTTTCCAGGTTGTATTCAACTGAAGTCCTAGACCTACATGGCAAGCTCTCCTGTCAGTTCTGTTTGGAAATTAGGTGTGTGTAGTGCATGGCAAGGGGAAATTAGCATGGAAAAATTATTTATCTCTGCAGACTTATACTATGGATCTGAACTCCATGTTATGGGCTACTTATAAAGCTCTAAATAACTTAGTATTTTAAGAATTGCCTGTTCCATTCAGTACGAGGATCTTGGGAACAGCTTCTTTAGAATCCAAGCTTTGTTAATGAATGTGGCTTAATATACATTGTTGTTTCAGCAAATTTAGTCATGGCTTTCCAAGTCTCCAGGCATTCTGAAATAAAATTCATGGAACACAAATAGGAATATGTGTATTGGTTGTGCCATCTTCCCTCTTTCTCCCAGATATTTCTAGAAATCTTCTCAGTTCAGCTTTGCCGAACTGCAGAACACAAAATGCCTTTTCTTGTGGGGTCATCATCTTACCAATTTCTGATGCTAGGGGTTATTTGTGTGCAGGGAGAGGCATCTAAAGATAATAATTTGAAACTCTACCCCATCTTTTCAGGTGCCAAGAGTTTCATTCGTGGGCGGTACATGGTTGTAGAGATATAGTGATTTCAAATAGGGTCCATCTTTTTGAAAAATCCTATATTTCACTCAGGTATGGACAGAGTTGAATTTAGTAGGTCGGAGCACATAAACAGGCAAATTCCATTCAAAAAGTGTCTAAAATTGATTAAGCAATTAATTGACCATGTGTTTATAATATCGTTTTGTTATGATCTGAGTGTCATGTTAAGATACTAACAATGTAGAGTTATGGGGTTTTTATATTTTACTTATTTATTTGTCAAAATACAAATACCAAATTTCCATCTTGCTTTCACTGCTCAGTGTATTACAGTTTTTCCTTTTTTGAGACAGAAGGATAAACAATGATGTAATTACTTTTGATGTAGGCTATTTTTTTAAAAAAAGTGGTACACTAGTTGGTAGGTATAGTATGTTAGTTTGCATAATGTTGAGAAATTTTAAAAAATCAATACTTTTAACTTTGTTTAGATTCCCCCCCTGAGAGGCTAGTTTTTAAAAATCTTGACTAGTATCCAGGATGTTCAGTTTTGTACAATTATAAATTTAGCCCTCATATTGTTCTGACCAAACATCTCCTTGTCTTTAAAACCTTAGGATCTGTCAAATCCCAGGGATTAGATTTATGGCCTAATAAAGCAGGTATTTCAATAAAGCATAATTTGTCAAAAATGTGTAAGGTCTTGTCTGGACCTCTGATGAAAAGGCAATAGCAATTTAACATTACTATAAAACAAGGTGGGTAAAATAAAGGCCTCATGACACCCCCAGATTCTTGATATCTGGATCAAATTTAGCATACTACGATTAAGGTGCAAGTACTGGCATACTGTGCTTAGGATGACTAATATTCCCCTACAGCTTTTCAAAGGCTTTAAAGACATTGACTGAGATCCTGCATTGTCATACATAACTATGATGATAGAGATCTATCATTGTCGTTATGTCTGACAATGTTGCCTTCTTAAAACCTGTGTCTTTCATGATGTCAGTGAGTCACTCAGATGAGTTTTGCACCAATTCTGTAGCCCATTCAGAACAACCTAAAGTTGAGCAGCTTTTGAGTAGTCTCCTTCCTCCAGTCTCTTACATGTGTGGCTTGGTGTGCTGCATTATTATCCTAAATTTCTTTTTGTCTGCTGCATAAGGAGCAGCATTCGGGACATTCTACATGTTAGCTTTCACTTTGTCCTCGTGTAGCTTTTTCCTTTTTGGCTTCTGGATTATCTTTTTACTGTTCTTTATATGTTCCTTCTGTCTTTGGCCCCTAACAATTATGCTGCTTGTGAAGATAAAATAACTTGGTTAAACAGTTATCCCAAGTGTTTTTTCTGTCTCCAAACAAGTTCCAGGTCTCTTCCAGCTATAAAAAATCCCCAAAGCAGAGCTTGAAGAATAGAATTCCTTACTTCAGATTACATCCTTGGGATTCAACTTTGAATTAGCCAACAGTTTAGCATAGAACAAGACACTGGATATATCTTTGTAATTCTCCTCCATTGTCTTCGCATTGACATCATCCATCATCTTTGGCTATGACATCAAACTCTAACTTCGATTTCTAAGTCATTGGTATTATTACCAGGCCAATCAGTAGCAATAATATCTTCTTTGGTGTCTATACCAGGTGTGGACAAACTTTTTGTCCTGGGATTGCCTTGTGGGCTAGGCTGGAAGGAGAGGCGGGCGCTGGAAGGAGAGGGGCTGGAAGGGCTGAGGTGGGAGAGGGTGGGGCATGGTGTGGCCTAGGGGTGGGTGGGAAGAGACACACAGCATAGGGAAGAGTGTACTCACAACTACCAGGTTTCTTCCCTAGTTCTCGAGGTCTAGGGAAGGTGGGCCACCTTCCCAAGGCTCAGAGGAGAAGAAGAAACACACTGCTGGCAAGAGGGCCCTCACCAATGGTGTGTTTCTCCCCCCCCCCCCCCAGCCCTCCCAGACTGGGGACACGGTGGGCCTCTTTGTCCACATGCTGAGAGGCAGTCCGAGGCAGATGTGTGTGTGTGTGTGTGTGGGGGGGGGGGGGTGGAGGTAAGAGGCCAAAGGACTGCATTTGGCTTGCGGGTCTAGGTTTGCCCATGCATGGTCTATACCAATAGAATCATAAATGTTGACACTGTTTTCCTTGACATTGTATCCCCCAAGCAGCACCTACTCCTGATCAATCAAATTTTCCTCAGTCAATAAAGGGCCATAAATACTCTTAAGTGCCAAACCTCAGAATTTTATATCATTCCAGAGAGGTTGTTGTCCAAGTTGTGTTTCCCTTCTTCCCTGAATGTACATCAAATGTCATTGCAATCAGTTTCCATAGAAGTTTCCTGTACTTTTATTCTGAGGGCTATCTTGCAACCCGGGTTTCTCATTGCCCTTGAGTTTCTTACTTTACTATCAATGGACCAATGAGCCCTAACTCCTATTTTGGAGAGAGTGGGGTCTTACTTTGACCAAATGGGGTTCTTAGCATTGGTTCCTTTTATGAATATTAAATTTTAGAATAGACTGCCCACTCTCCCACCATGTACTTCATATGAAGGTACTAGATGGTCATGGCCTTGCCTTGCACTGCTCATTCAGTGACTGCTCCATTAATATCTTTCACCGGTTCTCCAGATTTGGTCACTACATGCCTCCGCCAATATTAGCCATATGCTCGGTTTCTGTGGTTGCTCATGGTTTGTTATTTTTTTGGGGGGGCGGGCCGGTGGGCATTCAGCTTTTGTGTTCCATTTGTCTTGAATATACTTGCTTTGGTGTTCCTTCACTATATGATTCATATAGTGAACAGCATGGTAAAAATTCCTTTTACCATTCTGTCCACTACTGTACCATTTTGCTCTATTAGTGTGCTACATTTGATTGTCTCTTCAGTACTGTTGTCAGTGTCAGGACCATTCGTTACACTTAGCGTTTTATCTATTACAAATGTGTCTGTTACACAGTATGCATCATCTTGCATGGGATTATGTCATATGTCTTCAGGGAATGACTGTGACTCATATTCAACATAGCCAGAGTTTCCAGCCCCCTTCTGATGTTGTCACCCAATTAGGAGGTGTTGATACCACCCTGTTGTCTCTAGCTAAAAACATTAGCCCATATACAGATCAGAAGCTCCATATGACAAAGTTGTTCCATCACAACTTGAAGATATCTCCACAACCTATGTCAGAATGGTCTTCTAGCAAGGTGACACTAGGCAATTTATTATGCTTCTTTGAGGCCTTGTGGGATCTTGTTAGGAAATTGTGGAACAAACAAACATTTGTTCATATTGTGTATATCTAGCTAAATAGTGAATCTCTATCAAATTCGAGAGGAGGATGCACTTTCTTTTTTTCAACAACTTTCAAACATGACAGTAGTGGAGGTATCCAGACACAGGAGGGCAGAAGACTTGATATTGTGAGCCATTGTATGCATTATTTTGTAGATTTGGCTACAAGTATTAGTAACTATGAAGCATGTCTTTCTGCAGATCAGCAGCTGTTACGGGAGAAGTTAGTTCCCTGCCTTCCATACCTGCTAGAAGAATATAGAAAATTTTGCCGTATTGTTCCAATCTGAAATATACATGGTAGTTCAAACATGGGCAAACTTTATTAGGGCTGGGCTGGGAGGCGGGGAAGCTTACCGGGGTGACGAGTGGGTTGGGGAGGCTGTTATTTGGTGGAGTTTAACGTTAGAGCAGTATATTGCCTGAAACAAAACCTAAGCTTTGTCTGTGGTTCCTGAACTGTCTTCAGTGGAATCTTCACTTTACCTCAGGATAGTAAAAGAACCTTAGGGCTTTTTTGCAAAGGAAACTGTTAACATTGTACTGCCTCCTTCTCATTTCATTAAGAGTGTTAGACCTGTGTGGCTTTCACTTTTCAACATGAAATCTATTTAGTTGCTCACTACTGCTTCTCAGAATTAACTTTTGACTACTGTGAATTATAGCTCTAATATATAGGTTTCTGAGAGGGTTTGTTATCTTTTGTGTTATGTGAACACAACTGTTGTAGTTCGAATATGATATTTTGTTGCCTTTAAGAGAATTTGGGAAGCTGAAATGTTTTCTTAGATTATGATGATGTGGTGTGTGTGTGTGTAAGAGAGTGAGTGAGTGCTTTGTAACTACATTGTGTGTTTATGCATGGCAGTGGGTTGGACTGGATGGCTCTTGTGGTCTCTTCTATTTTATGATTCTATGAAGAAAGATATTGCTCGAAGTTTTGTACAGAATTTTTTTGTATCCTTGCTAATAACTGATTTTTAAATTCTGTAGATCTATTTATAGACACAAATCTTCATGCAACATTCAATATATTTTTTCTTCCCATAGCTGAAACTCTCTTTTCAAGAAAAGTAAATGGAAAATACAGACTTGAACACTTAGTTCCAACCGCTGTTTATCAACATATGAAAATGCACAAGCGGATCCTGGGACACTTGTCTTCAGTATATTGCGTAACATTTGATCGAACAGGCAGACGAATATTCACTGTAAGTGCAAATTCATGAAAATGTTCAGTTATACCTTTGTATTATTAAAGAATATGTATTTATTTATTTATTTATTTACTGCATTTGTTGACCGCCGCTCTCAGCCCTAGGGCGACTCGCGACGGTGTACAACATATAAAAACAGTTTACAAAAAAGCATAACACGAAATCACATATCAATAATATATACTAATCTAATCTAAATTACACTAACTAGTCCRCATCGTCACAGCATAGAATCATAACCAATCTCATAGTCCATATTCCGTTCCARTTGTCRCTTGCCARATTAATGTRGCASTCAATTAAATGCCTTCTCGAATAGCCAGGTCTTTAGGCTCTTCCGGAAGGCCATAAGGGAGGGYRCCTGCCTGATGTCAACAGGGAGGGCGTTCCACAGCCGGGGGGCCACCACCGAGAAGGCYCTYTCTCTCGTCCCYGCCAAACGTGCCTGTGAGGCAGACGGGATCGMGAGGAGGGCCTCCCCAGACGATCTCAAGGCCCTCGTGGGCTCATAGGCCGAGATGCGGTCTGAGAGGTATTTTGGGCCGGAACCGTACTGCATAATTATGGCGCTAAGAATATTGCAAGAGCTTAAACTGGCAGTGGTCCACCTAATTAAACACTCAAACATGTGTCTCATCATCTGCATTCTTTTTTTGGTGGGTCTGAAACTGTGGTTGTTAAATTCATGTGGGATCTCTGCAGCTGTGTTTCTAGAAAGAATTGTAATACATTCAGTTGTGGTACAGATCAGTCTCAGAGACTACTCCTTGGCAAGGAGAGGACAGGAAATACTCATATAGACACTTTTTCTGGCTATAAGTGGGAGGGGGGGGATATCAGAATCAATAAGTTTCATTCCTCTCTTATGAAATTCACCTAAGAAAGGGGGCTTCTTACTTTCATGCTATTACTGCTTGCTCATACCTATATTGTTTTTACACTCTTATTTGTTGATTTTTTCTGTTAAGATAGAGGGACATTATGTATTTTTTGTTTGAGACTTTAGTTGTTTTTTCTTCTTCTGCGGGGAGACTTTACTCAAAGACTTTTGCCCATGGGAAAGCCTTTCTGCTATACTCTACAATGACATCTTTGAACTTGGCTTGCTGTTTCATTGCCTAGAAATGGCAATTCCTGGAGACTAATGAAAGGGAATGTAATGACCTTTATGGTTTTCTTCAGCTATATAGCTGTGTCCTTCGGTATTTAATACAGCGATAACTGTTCAGATTCCTACTGGCGTGATTTCTGTGATATGTATTTGGGTTGCAGTCAGTTTAGTCTTCCAAAATAAAGAGGCTCTTTACATTTGGAGTAGGAAGAAAGTTGATCAGGGTCTATTGAGTGATAAATTATCAGATGGAGATTGGGAAACATTTCTGACTGCCACTTATTCAGTGAACAGCAAATAGAAGTACCTGTGTGTGTGTGTGCACACCTCTATGGTTCCTGTTGATTTATTTACTTAGGCAAAGAATTTTCAAAGGTACATAAATTATGTAGCTGAAAACAAAGTTTATTGAGGAAGAGTAGAGTTTTATTTTTCTTGAAGATATTCTAACAAAGCTTATTCCCATCCTGCAGATTTACGGTTCTCTGCTTGGGTTGGTTGTTTGGATCTAATGGTTATAGTAAACAATAATATACAAAATGTTTAAAAAGAACACCCAAGAAATCTAAAGTCTGTCCACTCCTGCTTCACATTACCAGATGACTTATTGCTGTTGTTTGCCTTCATATTGTTTCCAAATTATGGTGACCCTCAAGCTACTCTATCACGGGGTTCTTTGCAAGATTTGTTTTGAGGAGTTTGCCTTTGCCTTCTTATTGTGACTTCCTCAAGATTACCCAGTGGGCTTCCATGGATAAGTGCAGATCAATACCACAGTCTCGAGAGCGATAGCCGATTGCTGAAACCACTACACCACGCTGGTTCTGTAGAGTCCTGAAAATAAGAAGTGTTTCATGGCCTGCTAAAACACTTCTTATTTTCTGAAGGACAGCAGCTAAAATAACTTCTTTTGCAGAAATAAGCATTTGCTTCTGTCTGACTTGTTGGCATCTATCTGCCTTTACTGACCCATGAAATTATCAATTTGAAACAGTTATGAGTTCTACCACTGTGGGAACTGAAACCTGCTATCTACATGAGAGGATCTAGGGAAAGAGCACAACTCATTCTATTCTTATAAACTTTCACAAAAAGAGAAGGCACATTCATCTGGCTTCTCTTCTTCTAAGTAACAGATAATAGTTTGGGAATTACATTTGTGTGATTTAGCAGTACTGGGTAAGAAAAAAAAACAGTTTATGCGATTGAGAAGCACTGCATGTTTTATTCTATACTTATGGTCAGAATAATATATATATATATACACACAGCCATTTTCTGTAGTGTTATGTGGATTGCCTTGGATGTGCATTAATGATAGAACTCTAAAGTAGAGTTAAAGCAGAGGGATTGAAATTCTGATGTGCAGATTCTCTTGTGCTTGTTGAGAGAGAGAGATATGAAGCAATTCGAGGTATAATGCTTTGCTTTACTCAGGTTAGTTTTAAGGCTATAGAGTGAAAAACTAAGTTACTGTAAGCCTGTTGCCACGAGTGGATGTCTGCCTGGATGGAATTTCTTACATCTATACCAGGGCCCCTCAAACTTTTAAACAGAGGGCCAGATCACAATCCCTCAAACTGTTGGAGGCCGGATTATAATTTGAAAAAAGCATGAATGACTTCCTATGCACACTGAACATATCTTATTTGTAGTGCAAAAAAAACCAACAACTTAAAAACAATACAATAATTAAAATTAAGAACAATTTTAACAAATATAAATTTATTCGTATTTCAGTGGGAAGTGTGGGCTGATGAGATAGGATAGCTGTTGTTGTTGTGTGCTTTCAGGTCATTTCAGGTTTTGGTTGACCCTGAGCGACGGTCGGGTAAATGACCTTGGAGAGCAGTATCTGGCCCCCGGGCCTTAGTTTGAGAACCCGTGATATATACAGTAGGATGGCAAATTGCCTCAGGCCTGGGAAGCCATGATCCTGCAGGACCTGGGAGGATCACATTGTACCTAACCCCCCAATTTTTGGAAAAAAAAAGTAATGCAGAAAAGCTTTTCTGTTGTTCTTTCCAGGGGCTATGATTGTGTATTTCATTATACTTTCAAGGCTGTCTGGCCTGTTTTAGGACCAACAGTGGCTTTAAGTTTTCTTTAGTGATGGCGGGGGGGGGGGGGCACATTCAATTTAAAGGTGCCTCAGCCCCATGTAGTGAAATTTCTCCCAATATCCTTGAACACACTAAGTTGGTTTGCCAGAACTATCTTGTTTCATTACATTTTACAGAGACCAGTATCTCACCCTTGGAGTTGTTGGCCCATATGTTTCTTGCAACAAACAGCTTGTCAATATCATAACATTGGTTCAAGTGGGCAGAGAAGCTACCTGTCTATGCCCACATTCCTTCTGCAGTAGTGAAGTTTCTTTCAGAGCTAGTTGACCTTTATCACAGATTGGGAGAAGGAGTTGTGGGATATATCGAGTTCGGATTACTAAAGATAGTTTACTAATTTATTCCAATTAATTAAATTATGAATTAAGTTGGGAATTTGCCAATAAAAGGGGCAGTTTAATGAAATTCATTTTTATCTTACTTGATTTGAGCTGGATATTCAGCATTAATGTTTCTCGGATTTTCTCAAGATCTGATATATTTGAGCCCCAGTGAGAAAGATCCAATAAGTATTATGTCATCCAGTTAGTTCTTTATCCAAACTCTACTGCTAGTTAATTTCTGCTCTAGACTGACCCCACAGTAAGTAGCCAGTGTAGATGAATGCTCAGTCACGAGTCATCAGGGCAGTTTGAAATCAGGTAGCTCTCTTAGCATTTCTGTATATAAGTTCTGCATTGAGAACTGCAGAGAGGCTCAGAGAAAGAAAGAATGAACTAGACGAAGTAGAATAATAAGGAAGTTAGAAGAGACGGAAAAAGGTAAAGCAAGACAAGGATTTCTAATGGTTTGTGTGAGAAATTGATTTTTCAAAAAAGTATGAAGCTCCTTACTTCAAAATCACAGAAAAGCAGTGAGGGATAATATTATGGTTGGATTTTCCAGCTTTGTTCGGATAAGGCTTTTAGTGCAATCATGCAATGACAGTTAAGGTACAAATTTAAAATGTACTTAATTGATAAAAATGTTCTTCCTTTGAATATAATGCCATTGGATTTATTTTTGCAGGTTATTTAATAAGTGTGTATTTACATTTCCCATTCAACATTGATTTCTAATGAGGCATCTGATGGTGGAAATGATTCCACCAGCAGAAGGAGGCACACACTGCTTTTCCCACTGTAATCCCTTAGAGAGAAGCTAGGAAACCATCAGGAGCTGATTTTTAGAAGCTGCTGAAAGGTTCAGAGGTTTTGGATGGAAGGGGGAATGTGAGAGAGACTTTAAGCTGCAGCAAAAGCATGAGGAATACTGGTAATTGCAATGGAATGTGCTTGTTTTCCTCTCTGATGAATAAAAGCAAGTGCTTAAAGTTGCTTTATTATATGTTTCACCAGTAGGGATAAAGCTACTTTTTCCTTGGTGGGTGAATAAGAATACTATTTGGACTTATCTTCATACCTCTGATATATTCAGTTATAAACTGCTTTCTATTACCTGCTTGTCAAACACTAAAAATAATCTTGTTTGCACAAGGATGATGTTAGCTATATGCCTTTCATAGACTCCATTAAGTGCAGTTGATTTTAATTGGGCAATTCTTTTGATTTGTTTTTAGGGTTCTGATGATTGTCTTGTGAAAATCTGGGCAACGGATGATGGAAGGTTGCTTGCTACTTTAAGAGGACATGCAGCTGAAATATCGGACATGGCTGTTAATTTTGAAAACACAATGATTGCTGCTGGGAGTTGTGACAAAATGATAAGAGTATGGTGTCTCCGAACATGTGCTCCTTTGGCTGTTTTGCAAGGCCACAGTGCATCCATAACGTCGCTACAGGTAATGTTTTCTTCTGCAGTGGGATGGGATTTGTGTCACTCTCCAGATGTTTTGACCTGCAACTCTAACCATTCTTGATTGGAGGTTATGCTGTCTGAGGCTCTTGGGAGTTGAAGCTCAGAATCAGGAGAGTCCCCCAATTCCCACTCCTGCTCTGTAACATTACCTAGTGGGGTTGTTTTGTTATAGAACATTATGGAAAATTGATTGAGTGAACGTTTTGAAGAGAAACTCTTTAAGAGAATGAATGGCTTGTGTTCTGTTTTCATTTTCAATAGAGTTACAGACAATGATAGGGCAATGTGACCTTGCCCTGGGAAGTTTGGGAGAGAGGTAAGTGATGGTGAAGATAGTTCCCTTCTCCTGCCAAAGGGTATGAGCTACAGTGGGTATAAACAATTGGTAAACAACAATTTAATTCCCTTTGAGAGAATGCATTTAATGAAGGCATGGTGCCATCGGACTAGTGAGAAGACTGCACCTTTCAGTGTGTCAGTTCTCTCATTGACCATGTGCACACAAAAGCAAAGGCTGATTGGTTCAGCTCATTGCTAATCAAATTGAAACAATCAAAAACTACTATTTAAAATGTTGTTGTGCAGGACTGCAGTCTTGAACTGCTGAAATGCTGCAGTAGCTTTCTTTGGCAGGAGAAATGCTTGCTACCACACAACAACAAAAAAGTGGCAGGAGAGGTTGGTTGGATGTGAGTGGATGCTTTGGAGAGTATCTTGTTCAGATCCATCAGTTTGGGAAGCACTTATGAAAGCTATAAGTAGCGGTAATACATGATTGACAGGAAATGTATCATATATCTTAGCTATTGATAAATTAATGTATAAATTATTTCTTGAATGTTTTCTTGTGTGAATCCCCTTCCCCCAAATTATATATACATAAAGGAAACAGTAGAAAAAGAAGGGAGAATGGTTTTGCTTCTATAAGAGTGATATTGAGTGGTTCGTGCCAGGGAGAATTAATTTGTGTCTGCCGCAAAAAACTTTTTGGTAGGCTTCTGCATGTTACTGATTAAGTGGTTTTAAAGAAATTGTAATTACGATAGAAATGTCTATTTTTTCTGAACCCTTTGGATCATTAATTTCTACTGTTTGCTAAAGATCAAAGATTTATAAATAATTTTGTTTGTTTTGCAGTTTTCTCCACTATGCAGTGGTTCAAAAAGATACCTGTCTTCAACAGGGGCTGATGGAACAATATGCTTTTGGTTGTGGGATGCTGGAACCCTTAAAATAAAGTTAGTTTCTGTTTCATGATTGTAAACTCACATTCATATTTGGAGACATTGCAATTGCTTTGTGGGTGGTTTTAGAAATTAGTTGTTGATTTAGGTTTCTGTTTTTGTTGTTTTTGGTTTCCAATTAACCTTGATTTAAAAAATTTAATTAGATTATGACACAAACAGTCTCATTTAGTCAAAGTCATATGCAGTCTAAATAAACACAAGAAAAAGAGAGGAGAAAAAGCATGTAGACCTCGATAATCTATCAATAGACTGTAATTTGAAAAAAGAGGGAAATATTCTTCCATGATAGATCCAAATAAATAATCCTCCTAAAATTATTAATAATACCCACAGATTGTTACCTCATTAGATTTCTTATTGCTTAAAAATGTACTCAGGAGTCAATCTAAGTTAATTTGATGAGATTTATTACCAGATAACAGGATATAAAATTAAACTTTATCAAATGCCTTCTCAGTGGATATTTATTGGGTTGTCTTATAAGTCTCTCCAGGGGACAGTCTCAGCACACATAATACTGTTTTGAGCCAGAATCTTTGTCTTTAAGTGATTTTGCTAAATGTCCTTATCAGTGAGCATAAACTAATAAAGAGATATCATTCTTTCAAAAATTTATTATCCTAAATGTCTACAGTTTTTCTGGTGCAAAAGCAATGCCATAAGTTTTAGCTTGTTCTTTTAGGCAGTAGAAATAACCAATCTAATACATTTGAATCTTTTCAAAAATTATACATTAGTATTCATTCTTGTTCAGAAAATAAATGAATTTTGAAATAACTAAACCGCTAATTAAACCAAATACCATATTTTCTGCCATATAAGCCTACTTTTAATCCCAACAAAATCTTCTCAAAAGTCAGGTGTCATCTTATACACAGGAATCATCTTATACACTGGAGTAACCTTATGCATGGGGGTCGTCTTATATGCGGCAGTAGTCTTATACGCTGGGAGTCGTCTTATAGAGCGGGTGCTGAAACTTCCTGTCCGGATTGGAGAATCTGTGGTTGCTGCATATTGTGGGGGGAACTCAAAAATGGCAGTGGCTGTATGAAAGCATTAAGGGCGACTGTGTACAAGTTCAATACAAGAAAATCCATTCATCAGGATTCGTGGACTTAATGCGGTCCCGATGGTGAGGTGAAAGGGCGCCTCACTGGGAAGGTGTAAGTGAAGGGCGGAGGAAGCTGCAGGCGCCCAGCGTATGGAAAAAAGATATAGAGTGGCTCTGGGCCCACAAAAACACACCTCTTTTACCTGTCTGGCCTGCCCTTGTATCCTATTACCATACCTCCTCCTCTGCCTCTCAGTTCTCGCTCCTGAAGACTGTAGTGAAGTGGTGCAGGTGCGCATGTGTGAGATCTGAGAGGCAGAAAAGGAGGTACAGTAATAGGAAAATTACTATATTGAAATCAAATCTAATGCTTTTAAATTTTTTATTTGGTGTGCGTTGGAAAAGGGGTAGTCTTATACGGAGAGTATATCCCAAACTATATTTTAACTGGAAAAGTTGGGGGTCTTATATGCCCAGTTGTCTTATATGCTGGAATATATGGTACTTTGTCAGTATTTCTCACATTTTTGGGAACCACCTCCAAGGTTGTTTACAGGATAATATTTAAAGACATTAAAATAAAATAGTGAATTACAGCAACACTGAAAGCAAACACAGCAATGAAATGTTTATAGTTATTTTTTTGAAAAAATCAAAAGCAGACTGAAACAAATAGTCATGAAATACTGAAAGACATATGAAAAGAAGTAAAGTAGTATATTTCTGTATGCTTAAGACTCAACAAATGGCTTTTCCCCATTCCCATAAAGGAAGTTAGATATGATAATCATGAAATCATCTAATGCTTAGACCCTCCAGGTCAATGGATTTTAGATCTGCGATTTCCACTGACCCTGACTCATCATGCCCCATGTTATTAAATGGTGGTCACATAAATGTGCGCCCAATGAAGTGTGTGCATACACATTGCCCCTTTTTAATTATATAGGCCACAGCCATTCGTGTATCTGTATCTGAACTGAACCATCATAAATATGGCAGGCCCAGTGTATTTTACTTTTCTGTTATAGTGTATGTTGTAGTATTCTAAATTTCAGTGTAGAATATTATTCAGGGAATGTAACATGTATCTACAATATAAAATTAATGCAGTTGATACCACTTTAACAGTCATGGCTGAATGCTACAGAATCATGGGAGCTGTAGGATCTTTAGCTTTCTCATTTGTTTTTGTGCCTTCTAGGCTACATTCTGGTCCCTATGCAATCTCTTCACAAAAAGCCAGTCAGTGAATCCAAGGAAATGGGTGATTCTTTACCAGTTCTGTCACAACAGATATGTTTTCTTCTTATTTAGTGCTGTTGGAATATGCCCCAACTCATTTAGAGAACATTTGGCTCTTTCCAGTATAGAAAACTGTATTGTGACCTCTTTACTCCAACAAATGGATACTCCTATTGTACTCTTCCTATTTTGAAATGACTTTTGATCTGTGGGATTATATTAAATTATCTTGTAAATAAGTTTATTCCTTCGTGTCTAATTTTTGGTTTGTTTGGTTGGCAACTTAAGTTACTTTCAACAATGTAACTCTGTGCTGTGTATTTTAATCTTGCAGTCCAAGGCCAACAAAGTTTACAGAACGTCCGAGACCTGGAGTGCAAATGATCTGTTCTTCTTTTAGTGCTGGTAAAGTGTGCTTTCACTCCAAAACCCGTACACACCAATAGTTATAGCATTTTTGAAATATAGTGAAAAATAGTGCTAGGAACTTAACTTATATATAATTTCATCTGAGTTACAATATTATTCTGACTCAGAGTCCTAGAAAACTTAATTGTATATAATAAAGGGAGGATTTCTTGAAGGGCATATTATGATGAAATCAGGGGCAGTGAAATTTTGTATTGACTGGTAGTGTTTCCAACTGATTCAACAGCAGCATACCTATACCTGTTGTCTACAGACTTATAATTGCTAAAACATGTAGTTAAAATGTTTTATAGAAATTATAGATCTAAAGAGCTGTAAAATTATTAAAATATAATGTCCTAATATTAACAGTGAACATGGCATGTTGTTGGAAAAGATGATGGAAAGTTAGGCGTCAGATTATCACATTTCTAAGCAAGCCACTGCCCTGGTGACATTGATTTTTTTTTTTTAGGTGGAATGTTTCTGGCCACTGGAAGTACAGATCACATCATTAGGGTTTATTTCTTTGGATCAGGTCAGCCAGAGAAGATATCAGAGTTGGAGTTTCATACTGTAAATACCTCCTCAAAATTTCTTAGATATTTGTTTAAAATAAATTAACATCTAGTAGTTATATTGTTAATTATTTTTTTTCTTGTTCACACAGGATAAAGTGGACAGCATTCAGTTTTCTAACACTAGCAGTCGGTAAGCAAGTTAGCAGTTGGTGTTCAACTTACCATTTTTCTCCACTGTATTTGCATAAAACCCATCAGATTTTATTTTAGTTGACAGGTGAAGACTTTTGTATTGGGTGGTGTCTAATTATATCTGCATCTCTTCACACAGTTCCTTGTGTGCCTTCTCCAATTTCTCTTTAAAACTGTTAGTTTTGTTATCTGAAAGCATAAGGATATTACACCATGGGTGTTACTAGATTCCTGTTTTAGCTTTAGCATATTCTGTAGCACAAGCTTTCATGAGGAAATATCCTGCTTGTGAAGGATTTTAAAGAGCATTCCCTCCCCCTAGATTTGTAAGTGGGAGTCGTGATGGAACAGCACGCATTTGGATGTACAAGAAAAAGGAATGGAAGAGCATTTTGTTAGATATGGCTACTCGTCCTGCAGGGTAAGTTTGTATATTTCCCTCTACAACCAATTTTAAAAACCTTGGTCTTACTGATACTGAGTTGCAACTCTTCTCTGGGAAGTGACAGAGCCAGTGCTTTGCATAAGGGTACCATGTTCTGTATCTAGTTTCTCCAGTAGGAAAATGTAGTTTTTGATGGTGGAAGAGGCTAAAGCTGAGACTTCTCAGCCAGTTGAGCACCTAAAATAGTCTTGTATATATCTTCTTCCTGTGCAATAGACATATGCATTTGTTTTGTAACATTTTTAATGTTACAAAACAATTGATCTGGAAATGACTCCTAAGGTCTTCTGGATTCAGGTATTGGGCAGAAATATATTGATGGTCCATGAGAACTGATTGGAGTTGGAGTTAAAAGTTGTGGCTTTTCTTTTGCATTGGGCCTCTGCGAGTTATAATTAAGAGGTGGCACCGAAAATAAAGAAACCAGAACTGTTTAAACAGTCTTAGTGGTTCAATGCACTCCTGGTGCTTTCTTATAGCTCTTGAACTGTGTTCTGACCATGTGATTTCTATTCATTAATTATAGTCAAAACGCACAAGGAGTAGAAGACAAAATCACAAAACTGAAAGTTACTATGGTAGCATGGGATCGCCACGACAATTCAGTTATCACTGCTGTTAATAACATGACCTTGAAGGTTTGGGACTCTTTTACTGGACAACTTATTCATGTCCTCATGGTAAGGAAACAGTAATAATGATACATCTTTATTGTAGTCTTTCTCCAACACCATAATATTTAGTTAGGAAAATAATATTCTTTAATAGTCGTTCAAAGCACTTTTAAATACTGATAATCCTGATGCCCCTGAGAACCATTTTTAAATAAAGGACAGAATGTTGCTAAGGATCACTTTAGCCTAAAGAAAAATCCAATTTGTTTTGTTTTTTTAAAATCCACCAACCTTAAATCACATTTGCTAAATTGCACTTCTTATGGATAAACTTGTAGGATCAAAACTATGTCATACTTATTAATAAAGTAATTTTGATGTTCTTTACCTATTGAAGTTACAGCTGTAGAACTAAAGAATCCCCCACCCAAATCAATTTACAGGTATTTTCGTATAGCTGAAATTTCATTACAGTACATTGATTTTCTTGAAACAGTTTCTACAGCCAAAGAAACAAGTCACTAGTGAATGGAGCAGTACCTTTTTGTTTTGGAGTTGACAGGGATGCAGCTAAAATAGCGAACAAACATTGCGTGTTGGTCCATTTCCTACCATGTGCTTTATGCTTTCTTTTGTCCCTGCTCCAAGTGATGTTGCCTCATGTTCAGCCCCATTAACCTATGTTTTGAAATATTTCAGGGCCATGAAGATGAAGTATTTGTACTTGAAAGTCACCCTTTTGACCCTAGAGTGCTCTTCTCTGCTGGCCATGATGGAAATGTAATCGTATGGGATTTAGCAAAAGGAGTAAAAATCAGATCTTATTTCAATATGGTAAATATCTTAGACTATTATATGAGAAAGTGATTTACTTTACATGTATTAATCTCAAACAATGTGATAGATTTTTATGTGTGTGGGTGTTTAAACCCTTGTATGGTTTGTACTTAATACATATCTTATGCCAGTATTAATGTAATAAATTAAAAATTAATTTGTATATAATTATATAAATTCTGAGCCCCAAAATAAAATCACATAAAATGTAATTCTAGTGCAGATGTAGTGTATTCATTTTACACTCTGCAAAATTGTATCTAGTCTAGAGGTCTGACTTAATGAATATATCTGATTATTATTTGAGATATTTCTTTAACTGATTTTGTTTCATGATGGTGTGACAATCTATATTATATCTAATTAATCTTGAGACTGTCCAGTTTTGGTTCATGCCCTAGAACAAACGTGGACAAGGTTAAGCAGTGTGTCCAGAACAACCTCCTCTCACCCAAAGTCTTTGAAGCTGTTTCGACTTAGAAATATTGTTGCATTTTCTTTTTGAGTTTTGGATTAATATAATTTTTATTCTTACACTAAGGAACTGTTGATAAAATTCTAGGATGTGTGCTGTCACTGCTTTGAGATACCAGTTTAGTATAGATATAATGTTAATTCAATAAATAATATTTGTGCACAGATTTTCAAAATTACCAGCAAAGTATTTCATTTTTATGCTGGAATGCCCTATTTCCCAGAAGATAAGGAGATAACATCTGCTGTGTTTGGATTGGTCCCCTAATTCGCTCCTATAGGCAAGAATTTATAAAAACAAAGGACCTTCCTGGCTTCTATGTGGGAGGATCCAACCCTCTAAAGACTAGTCTTGTTTCTGGTTTGTTTAGAACACAGTTTCCTGGTTAAGAGATATGGCAAACTGTAAACTAAACAATCAGTTTTCCAGAAATTGAGGTAAGACTTAGAAGAGGAGAATAGAGCTTTCAGGTATTGAAGCTTTCCCCACCTTACTTTTCCAATAACTTTTCTTACAGACAATTGACTCTAATCTTGTAATTGAAAACCCATTTTACATGGAGGTAATGTTGAAATGAGTTGATCAGTATACAGTGTTAGGTAAGAAGTCCACAAAATTAGCTAGCCCTCAAAATGTTTCCTATCTTACCTAACTACATACAACAGCCTGAAAGAAAAAAATCCAGTGCTAATTTGGATATTGTATTGCAGAGTATTAAACTGAAATATGATTATAATCAGCCCCCACCTCTTTGCAGTCTATCTGAATGCACTGTTGATAAAACTGGTTAACTAAACTTCTTGGTTTAACTATTACTTGTGTAAAGGCTACATGCACGAGCAAAATGCTAATTGGTATGATATTAAGTGAAGTTTTGGTCATCCCAACAGAGTCACAATCTTGTCTGGAGCTATTATTGTTTGCTATATCAGTAAAACTGTCATTTGGAGACACTGGCATTATTTTAACTTTTGTGAAGTGCACATAAACAATTCGTATGCAATTGTTTGTGTGAATATATCATTAAAGGAACAGTGCTAATATTGATGTTATCTATTTGAAAAAGCTATCTTTAAAAGGATGTATCAGTTGTATTGAAATGTTATATTCAAATTATTTGTGCCATGACTCTTCTGGAGAGGAAGATACTGTTTGCTAATTCAGAACAAATGGGTTCTTGTAAAATTTGTTAATCAAGCAGAGGTTAAAGTTTACGATATTTATGATTATTCTGATTTTCTTCATTGTCTCCTGTTGAAGATAGTGCTATAGAAAAGAGAGGAAAGGCAAAACCTCAAATGTTGTTTTTTGTGGTTTTTAAAAATCATAATATGGATCTATTAGGAAATACAAGGGGAGGAACACAGCAAAATATTCTGGTAAATGTACTACAATAGCAAATTATGTATACATTTTTCATTATGGGTAGCTTAATCTAGAATTTAAACATTTTGTTGAATCCTGTACAGCACATTTGGCATATGGTTTAGCACCCTCTTTGTGGCTTTTATAATCTTAAACCACATCCTTTTAGATTGCTCTTAGAAGAATTCCTGTGTAATTTATAGTAGGGTGGAAAAGAATACCACAGTTAAAGAGAGATATTGACAAGCTGGAATGTGTCCAGAGGAGGGCAACTAAAATGATCAAGGGTCTGGAGAACAAGCCCTGTGAGGAGCGGCTTAAAGAGCTGGGCATGTTTAGCCTAAAGAAGAGAAGGCTGAGAGGAGATATGATAGCCATGTATAAATACGTGAGAGGAAGTCATAGGGAGGAGGAGCAAGCTTGTTTTCTGCTGCCCTGGAGACTAGGATACGGAACAATGACTTCAAACTACAAGAAAGGAGATTCCATCTGAACATTAGGAAGAACTTCCTGACTGTGAGAGCTGTTCAGCAGTGGAACTCTGGCCTGGAGTGTGGTGGAGGCTCCTCCTTTAGAGACTTTTTAAACAGGCTGGATGGCCATCTGTCGGGGGTGCTTTGAATGCGATTTTCCTGCTTCTTGGCAGGGGTTTGGACTGGATGGCCCATGAGGTCTCTTCCAACTCTATGCTTCTATGATTCTAAGTGCATGTTACAAATAATAATGATGGTGATGATAATAATAATAATAATGATTATAATTACAATTATATCTTTATTCTTATACCTTGTCACAATCTCCCTGAAGTGACTCGGGGCAGCTTAAATATGGGTCAACATGCCCATAAGACATAAAAGCAAAACACTCCATTAAAGCAAAAACACAATTAAAATAAGAAAATAGTAAAATGTAACAATTCAGATAAAAACACAATTAAATAAAACATAAGAATATAAAACAACAGCATCGAAGCTCAAAACAATGCTCAATAAAACCAGAGTAGTATTCATAGAGTTGGAAGAGACCACAAGGGCCATCATGTCCAACCCCCAGCAATGCAAGAATACACAAATCACTCCTGATAGATGGCCATCAGGTTTTTGTTTTAAAAACTTGAAAGAAGGATTCTTCACCAGACTTGGTGGCAGCATATTCCACTGTCAAATAGCTTTTACTATCAGGAAGTTCTTAAAGTTTAATTGGAATCTTTTTTCTTGCCCTTTCAAAAGCCTTGGTGGGAAAATGGCATGGGCAGCAGCCAGGGACAATTGGCCCCTGAAATAGCATTGGTCTTTCTACCCTCCCTGTAGATAAAGCCATAATTTTGATCCCCAAAGCCACCCTCGACATACATGAGCATGTATGGCCTAGGTATTGATACACAGTAATATGAGTACTTGGTGTCCACTATAGTTTGATTTCAGGATCCCTTATGGATATCAAAACCCATGGATGTTTAAGTTCCATTATATACCATGGTCTCCCAGTTTTGCTGCTTTTGGATTTTTAGAAAATACTTTCAAGTTACAGATTTATGAATCTGTGGATGCAGAATCTGTGCACATGGAGGGCTGACTGTCTGTTCTTAATTTCCTTTTCTTACCTCCAAAATCTTATTTCTGCCAAACATCAAATTGACAAAACATGTCAAAATAATTATGTTCCTGCTTTTTCACATATAGCAGATCTAAAGCTGTTTGAGGTTTCTGAAACAAATTATTTAAAGTAGCAAATTCGGTGGTTGTTATTCAGATAGAGCTGCCTAAGCTGTTTCCAGATTAGAGGTAGCTGTCATATTGCCTAAGGAGCTGTGTGAGAAAGCATGTCTAACCTTAGGAGCAATGTTTAGGAGGACAGGAGATGATCCAAGGAAAACTTTAAAAACAAAAATAAAACTATGTCATACTAGTGTTGGTCTACTATGGTCTTTAGGTTGCAATTTGTATTTTTTCTATAGATGTTTTGATGTAGTTTTATTTTTCTGGACACTGAGTTGGATTATATTATAATGCATATTATTTGGCAGTCATAAGTTGATGCAAAATATTAAGTAGCATAATTTAACAAATACAGTAGGCCTTCTATGTTCACTGGAGCTAATCATCTGTTATACACCTTCTGAGGCAGAAATAGGACTACGTATCACTCTGTTTCCAAGGATTTTAATGTTTTGTTGCTTGGATTATTTGTGGAACATTTATTCCCTTGCATACATATCTGCTTCATAGACTTAGTGTAGCCAAGAGGAAGGAAAAGTTTTTTTGTTTAGGTCTTCCAGAAAATATTTTGCAACCAAGAATATTGGTAGAGAACTTAGGGTATGAAAGTTCAGAGTGGTGATTGGTCACCTATGCTTGATTGACAGGTTACAGGGAAAAACAAAAACCCATTTGTTCTGGATTAATGGAAGTGGAAAACAGAAAATGAGTATCAGGTAAAATTATTTTTAAAACATTTGCGTTCCTTAGATGAGTTGCAGGCAGGATAATATAGTGCTTGGGTTTTGCGCAGCATCTTTCTATGGGATCTATGTAGTTTATTTCTTGCCATAGCAAATGAATGCGACACCATTAGAGTAAACTGGAAAGGCCCAAGAACTATTATTAACTGGAATTTGTATGTATATTATTGTCTTTGAGGAGAAACTAAATGTTACTGAGGAGAGACTAGAGGAAAGTGTCCTGCTGATATTTGGTGGAGTATTAATTTGCTTAAAATTTGAATTTTGACAGTTAAATTAATAGACCTACACATGTCTACTCATATATAAGTCAGTGAGACATGTTTCTTCGACAAACATCTTCAGAGTTACAATTAGTACCAAAAGTATAGTCGAGGGAAAATATTCTTAAACATAGTATAAACCTAATGGAATTACTTTTGAAAGGTCATGAGATAAAAAATGTAGCATGAATCCATGAACAATTTAACCGATGTTTTTTAAATGACATGAAAAAAATGACATGCTTTGCGAAAATCATTCCTATATAACGGTGTATTTCTTTTCTTAAAAATAGGTTCATTATGGACATGAAAGTAATACTGCAGATCACTAGTATTCTGTTAATTTGTCTGCTGCTGTATTTCAGATTGAAGGACAAGGACATGGGGCAGTGTTTGACTGCAAGTGCTCTCCTGACGGCCAGCATTTTGCTTGTACAGACTCACATGGTCATCTTTTGATCTTTGGCTTTGGTTCCAGCAGTAAATATGATAAGGTATCTAAATTGGTTTAACTGGTAGTTTCTGAACCATGTTGAAGTCATGTTCGAATATTAGATTTTGGTTTTTGTTTTTTTTACAGTTTGCATCTAAAGCACCTGAGAGATATTTCTGTAGTTCATGGTTGCTTAATGCCTTCTCTAAAGTGGACTCTTAAGAGATAAATACTATGAAAACAAAATGCTAAAGTAACAAAGCATACACATAAGTCTATTTTTTCTTTGTCCACCATAATAAAGTTTAATTGAAAAAAAATAATTGGGGATACTTTCACTCTTGGGGGAGTTTTGGAAGCTCATTATGTATGTGGAAACTGATTGCTGTCTGGATATCAGCGAATTACAGTCAGCCCTCTGCATTGTCTGAGATTAGAGGTGCAAGACTCTTCCAAAAGAAGAAAAACTGCCCAAAGAAATCACTTTTTTACCTGAAATAACATCTTTCTAGGAATCCTTAGGTTCTCCAGTACCACTGTGTAGTCAGCCTCTGTTGGAAGATGACCAGAGGAGTCACACTGGAGGATCTAGGAATCCTTAGGGAGAACATATTAATTAAATTAGTGAATAATCAAATCCGCAAAAGTAATACCCACATATATGGAATGCCAACTATACTACTCTTATTACCAGCTACTTTGGTTGGAATTGATAGCAAATGAAATTCCACACCTCTTGGGAACTAATATCATTACATGGGAGATAAATAGTAAATATGATAATTGATGGGGATCCTTTGGCAACTAGAGATGTTTATGACTAACCACTTCATCTTTGTTAGTTTTAACCATTAAAGATAATTTCAGTTTTATAGTAAATAAATTGCTAACTGAAATTATATGTAGATGACACCCAACTCTACTATACTTTCCACCTAATGCCAAGGAAGCTGTTCTGACTCTAAATGAGTGCCTGCCATCAGTAATAGACTGGATGAGGGCAAACAAATTGAAACATGACAGACTTGCTCCTGGTCAGTTGTAAGGCAGATCAAGGAATAGGGATCCAACTTGTGTTTAGGGGTCCTTCTGGACTCAGCACTGAACCTGGAGGCCTAGCTATTGGCGGTGGCCAGGAGGGCCTCTACACATTAAAAACTTGTGAGTCAATTGCACCTGATCCTTGAAAAATCCAAATCAGGCCACGGTGATAAATTCATCCCGTCTGGATTACGGTAATGCGTGGGGCTGCCTCTGAAGAGTGCTTGGAAACATCAGCTGGTCCAAAGAGCTGCAGCCAGGTTGCTCACTGGAGCTGACTACAGGGAGTGGGCAACCCCCTGTTGGAGCCGCTCCACTGGCTGCCAGTTTGTTTCTGGACACAATTCAAAGTGCTGTTTATGATCTTAAAGCCCTAGACGGTTCAGGTCCAGACTATTTGGCCGACCGCGTCCTCTTGTACGAACCTGCTTGGGCCCTGAGATCTTCACAAGAGGCCTTTCTCTCAGTCCTACCTCCATCTCAAGCTCAGTTGATGGGAATAAGAGAGAAGGCCTTTTTGGTGGCTGCCCTCTGACTTTAGAACGCCCTTCTTCCTAGGGAAGCCAGAATGGCCCCCTCCCTGCAGTCCTTCCAGTGGCAGGCAAAAACTTTTTTGTTCGGGCAGGCTTTTAAAGATGGAGGTGTAAAAAATCACTTAAGGGTGTGCTATGGTTTTTAACTTTGAATGTGTTTTAATGGTTTTAACTGGGAATTTTTAATACTGTTTATATTTAATTCTGTTTTAATACTTGCATATTTGTATATTTTAAATTGTATGCTGTTACTTTTATATTAAGCCCCTTTGAGTCTCCTTCAGGATAAAGTTGGGTACAAATATAATAATAATAATAATGAATCTGATAGATATCATTTCTAATTTCTCCCATTCTGCAGCTATGTTTGCATTGTTATAAAATTGCATTGTTATAAAATTCTAAATACTAATCTATATACAGTTTTCGCTATAATCTTAAAATTGATTTTATTTCAGATAGCAGATCAGATGTTCTTTCACAGTGATTATCGGCCTCTTATCCGTGATGCCAACAACTTTGTGCTGGATGAACAGACACAGCAAGCACCGCACCTCATGCCTCCCCCATTTTTGGTTGATGTTGATGGTAATCCTCATCCATCAAGATATCAAAGATTAGTTCCAGGACGTGAGAACTGTCGAGAGGAGCAACTTATCCCTCAAATGGGGGTAACTTCATCAGGTACTTCAACTTTACCTGGAATTTCATAGTTTTATTTAAGTGCGCAGTACTGCATTATGTCAAAATAATATATATTGATCCATATAGTATATAACTTATTAGGGAATGCACATTTAGAATGCATAAATTTATCTCTAGATCTGCTGAAGAACTAAACACAAGTACGTTTTTTCCATAGGACTGAACCAAGTTTTAAGTCAACAAGTTAGTCCTTTGGACAGCATGATACAAAGACTTCAACAAGAGCAAGACCAGAGGCGGTCTGGAGAGGCTGGAACTAGCAATATTAACAGAATTGGAAGGGGTAAAAACTTTTTATTATTTCTTCAGCCATGATACTGTTTTTGAATGTGTAATGTGAGTGTATGTTTCTTTTTGTTCTTTTTTCCCCTTGATGTTGCAGCTGATTTTAACTTGTCTTATTTTATTTTATTGTGTGTGTTTTGATTTGTATTCCTGGGCTTGTCCACTTGTAAGATGCATTCAGCATATTGTATTTATCAAAAGACAGTATTTGCATACCACCTTATTCTCATTCACTCCTTTTACAGTTACTTTCCAGTAATAAAACATTTTGTATGTTTTAAATCCATTGATTTAACCAGTTATGAAAATGATCAAGGAAACAAAAAGGAGTTCTATCACAACACTTATTTTATAGTTACAAATTAATTGTTTAAATATTGTGGACTCATAACGTGTCCGCATATGGTTTAATTTCCAGTCTGACCCCTGGGTGATATGGAGTTTGCATCTATGTGGGATCATATAGTCTTCAATCCCGAGATGCTTTTTATAAACAGAAGAACTTTTTCCACTTACGGAAGGAGCACTAACGCAATAGTAATAGAAGTAGTAGAGTAATAGAGATGATTTTTGCATAGGACTGCTACTTTCAGTGCTGTTCCAGAAGGTTTTTCAACAATCTGAAGCCATCTTCAGTGGGTACAAGAGAAACAGTAGGTGCAAGAGAAACAGGAAAGTGGCATCTTTCCCTTTCTAAAGTTCTGTTAGTTAAATTTGGTCATGTGGTCCAAGCTATTAACTTTATACTTACTACTTATTTTCTCTCAGTTTCTCAGCATCATCAGTAAGAATGTTGGTTGATATTTTTTTAAATAGGCTCTGCAAACACCACTTCAGAGGTTCATTCACCACCAAATGTGGGATTAAGACGCAGTGGACAAATTGAGGGCGTACGGCAGATGCATAGCAATGCACCAAGAAGTGAAATAGCTACTGAAAGGGACCTAGTGGCATGGAGTCGAAGGGTTGTTGTGCCAGAGCTGACAGCAGGAGTAGCCAGGTAAATATAGCATTTATATCTTGAAATCTGTATATTTACGTTTCTAGACTTAGTGTTAAGTTATTTGATAAAAAACAAATGGGAGATTACATGGTTTTGGTTTGCAAGAATTTGAAACTTGTAATGCGCTTACACAGAAGTATCACGTGAGTTCATATTAATTTCTTTTGTAGTCGACAGGAAGAATGGCGAACAGCTAAGGGAGAAGAAGAAATAAAAATATACAGATCAGAAGAGAAAAAAAAGCATATTGTAAGCCACGTTGCAAGAGAGAACAAAACACCTCCTTTGCCTAAGGTATGTAGCACTCTATTCTCTTTAATCCAGTTTCATGAAGGCTGGAATCCTTAAGAGAGTTACGTAGAGGCAAACCTTATTAGCATTAGCAGGAATCAATCTGCAGTAGAACTGTATTGAGCCAGAGATTAAAGATAAAATATAGAGCAGCATTTTATGCACATCAAAGCAAATTTATGGAAAGCTTGAAACCATAGCAATGTATCTCAAGCTAGATTATTATACTGCATCAGTATCAATTAGTGATGTGTGTTTTAAATATTAGGTGAGAATAGCTTTGGTATCTAAAAACAATGCTTCTTTGCATCACCTTATGTAAACATATTGGAACGCATTGAAAGACTTCTGAATTGCCTCTTCATCTCTGGCATTGTGCATTGAAGACGAAATTTTAAGAGTTACTGCAGTGATTTCATTGTATGTAATCTGTAATAATTATGCTGGGGAAAAAGGAAGGAAAAAGGAAGAGGGGCCGACCAAGGGCAAGATGGATGGATGGGATCCTTGAAGTGACTGGATTGACCTTGAAGGAGCTGGGGGTGGTGACGGCCGACAGGGAGCTCTAGCGTGGGCTGGTCCATGAGGTCACAAAGTGTCGGAAGTGACTGAACGAATGAACAACAATCTGTAATAATATTTTTCTAGTTGTTCTTATTCAATAGCCAAAAGATGAATCTTCCTTATAGGAAAATCAGGACAATGAAACAACACATGATAGAATACAGTACTATAGTAATTCCAAACATGTTGGAATGGGGATCTGAAGCAATAAAGACAGAATCTTTGCAAGAGGCATACATACTTGTATAAACTAAAATTAAACTTGTGACCTTCAGGTGTTATGAATTGCAGCACCCAGCATCACTTAGTGCTGCCTGTGCTAGCCAAGGCTTATGAGAATTTCAAGATAATAGTCTTCTAGGGGGCTACAAGTTGATTTGTTTGAATGATGTTATTGCACTGAAATATATGCTTCACAAATGCATCTAAATGGTTTTGGGAGGTTCTTGAGAATTTTGGAGTCTTGCTGAAGCACTGATGGATGTCTGCATTGGAGAATGACTCTGGTGATGCCTTTAACCTGCTGGAATGCCTTTTAACCTGCTTCCAGAGCTCAGATAGCTTATTGATAGTTTGAGGTGCTGGCAACAGTGAAATGGCATTGTTGACAACTAGAGTGTTATTGCTGGTGGAAGTATAATTAATTCAAGCTAGGGAACCTCTTAGAGTTGATTTTCTTGATGATCAGTCTGGTTGGAAAATTAATTTTTATTTTGGCTGATGGGAAGATAATCATATACCATCACTAGCTTGCTTGTCACATTGTGGATAAGGTTACTTGAATCTATTCTGTTTTAGATGCCTTATGTTTGAGCAGTGTAGTAGCTGAACCTTCATCACTTCATGGTCTAGTTCTGGTGGATATATTGTAAATTTCTGCAACCTGGTATATTGTACAGGATTCTTGGAGAAGCGGGACTGGATGTGTTGGTTGAACCTCCTTGCTTCTTCTAGTTAATCCGACCTAGTTCTATATTTTCATCTATGTTGTCATCATACAAATTATAACACACAATAAAAGTATAATGTGCATATTAAAAAGTAGGATTGTTCATGAATTTATTTTAGAGTGGCTTGCATCAGATTCTGTTCACACAGATATTTATGTAACTATATTGCATTTCAGTCAGTGTGTAGCTATCTGGTGATTTCTCACTTTTGAATATTCAGACAGCAGCATTAACATAAAAGTATAGGAAACAGACCCTATTGAGCACATCTGATTCAGAAACACTTGCCCTGACTTGGCATTGTCTGCCCAGGATTCCTATATGTTTAGATAATGTGTTGTAGTTGGCTCATCCTGGTCTTCTTTATTACACAGAATGCAGCTGTACAGGTGTTGATTATAAATTGTATGATTTTAACTGTATTTGTGTTTAGATTGGCTGCAGTGGTGCTGGAGCGGCCTAAGTCAGAGGAGTCCTCCATGTGCGTTGCCATGGAGACCGATGCAGGAGAGAGAGAAGGTATGGGGATATAAGTTGATTTTTTTTTCCAGTCTGATGGCCATTCTTGTGTTTTCCATATTTGCTGGCATATGGCATGCATCACCTTGACAGCATCATCTTTTAAGATTTTAAACAGTTCAGCTGGGATCCCGTGCATCTCCTGCTGCCTTGTTGTTAGCAATGCTTCTTAAGGCCCATTCAACCTCACTCCTCAGATGTCTGGTTCTAATTCATTCACCACACCGTCAAAACTATCCTCAATATTATTATCCTTCCTATGCAGATCTTCTGTATAGTCTCGCCACCTTCTCTTGATCTCTTCAGCTTCTGTTAGGTCCCTGCCATCTTTGTTTCTTATCATACCAATTTTTGCCTGAAATTTACCTCCCATGTTTCTAATTTTCTTGAAGAGGTCTCTTGTCCTTCCTATTCTGTTGTCTTCTTCCACTTCCATGCATTGCTTATTTAAAAATAGTTCCTTATCTCTTCTGGCTAACCTCTGGAATTGCGCATTTAACTGGGCATATCTCCCCTTATCCCTGTTTCCTTTTGCTTTCCTCCTTTCTTGGGCTACTTCCAGTGTCTCAGCAGACAACCATTTTGCCTTCTTTTTTTTCTTTTTCTTTGGGACGTACTTTGTTTGCCGCCTCCTGAACAATGTTAATACAGTACCCTTATTGAAACAACGTATCGGAAAACTGATCCCTTATTGAGGCACTATCTGTATTCGAGAAAGCACTTGCGCCTGATATGGCATTGTCTGCCGCAGGATTCGGTCTATATTTTTAGGTATAATGTGTTTAGTTGGCTCTATGCCTGGTTCTATCTTTGATTACATGCAGATGCTGGCTCGTAGCAGTGTTTGATTAATACATTGTATGTATTTTATAAAACTGTATTATGTGTAAGATGGCTGGACAGTGGTGCTGTAGGGCGGAATAGAGTCAGGTAGAGATCCTTCCAATATGTGCGTTGCCAGGGAGACGGATGGAGGAGAGAGAGAAGTGGGAGGAGCTTAGAGGGGAGAGTTTGAAAGAACGACAGTTAAAAATCAGTTAGGTTTTAGGTTCCGAGGAGTGAGGAGTGAGGGTTTAGGTTTAGAGGAGTTGGTAGAGGAAAGGATTAGGAGGTTGTAGCTGAAAGAGAGTAAATTGTGAAGCAAAGTTTCGAGGCTTTGGAAAGCCAGATTAAGCTACTGGAAGTTTCTTAGCCTAGAGAGGCTGATAAGGGAAACGAAGCCAGTATTCCTTTAGTCTAAGGAAAGGCTAAAGAATAATCTTATTAAGTATCTGATCAAGGGAGGATCAGATAAGGGAGACATCCCTGTATTGAAACTTTGTTTTGTAATAAGTGCTTCACCTCAGGAAGATACTGTGTAACCTGAAAGAGTGTAACATTCAACTAACCAAGCATTGTTCTAAGTTCTATAACAAAAGTTACGTCTTGCAACCACACGCTGTGTACTTAATAAAATTGTTAACTTTTATTTGAAGATTGCCTCAGCTCCGTCTATTCTGTGTACCAAGTGCCATTTCTCACAATATTACAACTTACCTCACGTGGTGGCAGAAACGCAGGGAAAAGTAACCAAATAAATCTACATTCTTCTCTCCAGTCACGCTACAGTATATACAGTGTAATTACTACTAAGTTATTACTTTCTTAATAAAGGAGGAGGTGCAATTGAACAGCCTCCCTCCTAACTTGATGGTAAATTTGGTTCCTAATCGGCAACCTCCATTGCAAATCGGCTAAGTTCTTTTTAAAATTGGGAACTGGGGTAAAATCTCCTGAATACTGGTTCCTATCAAATTGGTGGCAACAATAAATTATCCCTCAGCTCCCTTGCTTCTTTTCAGCAGCACATTATTATCATATTTAAAAATTAATTTACATGTTATCATTGAGAATAAAATTTAATGTCAAGATATGTGTTTCTCATAATAGTTATTTTATGTTTTTATAGAATCATACTAATGATCATATATTAGATGCAAGTGATTCGAAAAAACAACAGGCCAATCCACATAATTACCGTACTAGATATGCATTGGAAGAAACTGCAAGGCCAAATGAAGACATGGAAAATGGAAGCAGTTCATCAGAGGTAAGATGCTAAGCTATATTTCATTTAATCATTTTTGCAGGGGAAAGAGGGGGTGTAACAGAATGGGCCTACCTTGAAGGGCTGGTGTGTGACGATTTCTAGGCCCTAGAAGGGAAGGCCTTGTCTACGCCAAAGGGATGAGAGGAGGGAGCACCCACTCCTTATATGGTAATGATGCCTGATTGGTGGAGAGATCAGAGAGTTTTGCATAGCAATAGAAGGGAGAGGGGGCCAGTGGTCTGTAATCAGTCAGGGAGGAGTCTGGTGAAGGAAGCGTTTTTAGGTAGGAGAGAGAAACCTCTTTGAGGGAGGATTTTAAAAATAAAAGACAGTCTTTGGGGAGAAGTGCTGAGTTTTTTAAAAAATAGCCTCTGAGAGACAGAGTGCTGGTGTTTTGTGATCCTCTAGTGGGAGAACTGAGAGTTCTGAAAAGCCATGTGAGTGAATATTGCTTTGTGAAGGAACCATTTACTGTAAACAACAGCCAACTCTTTGCATTGGAGTTTTTCCTCCAATTTTGAGTGGCTCTGAGGGCTGACTCCGGTATTTGGTCAGTCTGACTGGTGGAAATTGGTGGCAGCGATAAAGTTGGTGGTCAGAGATCGGATCGCCTGTTGTAGGGGTTTTCTGGTAATAACATTTCACCCCACTCCCGAGTCTATGGATGGTACCATTCTGGCTAATGCCAATACTCAAAAACAAGTTTGCTGCTAATGTATACGATAGCAACTTAGCATTCCATAGCTCTTCATTTAGGTGATTTGTTTTCCCTTGAATTTTAAAATCGTTTCATATACAAAATATCTCATAGTATCTAAGTGCAATTTACAAATTTTCGGCAATATGTAAGTGCAATTACTTTATCTGTTACATGGTGGCATCAAGGTCTTGAGCTGTGAGGCTCGTTTGGGTGTATAAATCTTATTTTCCTGGAATAAGTACTGAGATTAATTTAATGTTCATTTCTGTGCTTGATCCATATTCTGCTTTTCCTGTATAAATGGAACTCAGAGCAACCTCAGTTAAATCATAAAACAAAGACATTACAGTGTTAAATTCCAGAACACACTAGTAACATAAAATACAGTATCTAGCGAGTTTACATCACTTTCCACAACAAGAAAAGTCTGTTGCCAAATAGAAAGGTCTTTCTTTGATAGAAAATCTAGGGACATCCTCCTCATTCACATCACAACCTGCAACCATTAGGAGAGGAACAGTCTGTCCCAAAGATCCCAAAAATTTAGAAGAATTTGGTAGAAGCATACAATACCTAAAACAGCCTAAACCAGGGCTGTACAGGATTATGATGACTGTAACTAATGCCTGGAAACATAGGAAGCCAGAGAGGCTGATTTAAACAAGGAATTTTACTATTTTCAGTAACCAGCTCGGGCCATCAGTTTGACCACACCATTTTAAAGGCAGTATGATGTTGAATGTACTGTTTGAATCCAAAAGGAAACAACTAATACCTGTGTCAGTATAGCAAATTAGGCATCTCCGGGTATTAACTTTGCTCCAAAGAAGGTGCCCTTGACCCACAAGCCTTACTTCCTGGCTGTTATTAAAGCTTGGATATCTAAATTCAGGATTAAATCTGTAGGTGCACCCAAACCATGGATCTGACTCTCTAGGGATCCCAAGTGCAACTCACATTCATCATAGGGCATGATTTGCTATAGGAGAATGTGAGGTTGGGAGGTGGACTTTCAGAGTTTGGGAATGGGCAGAAATGATCCCCTGATGTCGAATGTTGTCCACCATGATTTCAATTGGATACCTTTGTATTTGAAGGAGCCTTGAAATAACTTTGGAATCAAGGCTTTCAGGCTGTCTTTGGAGCAAAAGAAATCTCTTTTATCAAATGCTATCATAGCAGGGAGATACTTATTTCCTTACCTTTAGGAGGGATTTGCATTTTGCCTTTGCTGCAGATTTGTGATAATGAATTAGGATATGTGTACTCTCACCTGTCAAAAATAATCTTGAATATTGTTCTCCTTGAGCAGGATCACATAATAACTTGATTCTTAATTTCTAATAAAGTTGTGTTCTATAAAGGTTAATGAAAAAGCTGAAAATGCATTGTGTTAGGAGATAACAACCTATGGACCCAGTTGCCAGTATTTGTTACTGCTAATGTAGGCAAAGTCCACCATAAAAACATATACTGTCTTGTTCTCAGGAGATAGAAGTAGTTGTTGCCAGTGGTGGAACATCTGAAGATGAAGGAAAGGCATGGAACAGTGATGGTAGTTCTAGGTAAGTGACTGAATGTGAAGACGCAAGTTGTCTATATTTAAATAAAGCAGAAAAATAATAAATTGAAAGATGTTTCTGGGGGTGAAAGTAAAAATAAGATTTAGATGGAAGAGGGAATGCTCCACAGAACTTATGCCAGGATCCAAGGGCTGCATAGAAATAGGAGAACACCTCTGTTTTTCAAGTGAATGTCCTAACCTCCCTTAAGAGTTCACTTTGAAGATAAGGAAATTATTAGGTGTAGTGTGTTCATGAGGCAGATATATTGCTGTCCTGAATTCTATTCCTTGCATGTACACAGCTATTGCTAGGATTCAGTCTTGATTTATAATTAATTTGTAATTAAATATTTAAAAATAGACAGTATAGAGATGGGGAGTTTTAATTCCAGTTAAAGAGCAGATCTGTAGCTTCTTGGATTGGTGGTGTCATTTGGGGTTGAGTTAACCTGAATGAATGGACATGCCTTTCACCATTTCTTAAATGGTTTGGAATGCAAATATCTACAGAGGCATATCCACACATCTACTTTTATGTGACTTAACCTCATAAAGGGAAGTTCTCTTCCAAGAGCCTTGGTCATACTAAGGGGAGACAGCCTTGTGTCACTTCTCTTCATGGAATGCCAATAAAAAACTTTCTATTCGACAGAGCATTTTAAAATTAGTTGACAAGTTTTTTTCTGTTCTTACCTATATTTTAATGGTGCTACTTTTGATTATTGTATTGATTTAGATTGGTAAACCACTCTGATATTTCTCAAAATGAAGAGTAGTTTACAAATGTTTGAATAAATGACTGCTATTTGGAACAGAAAATGTTTAATATAATTAGATAAAGTTTGTTCCCAAAATCTGCTTCTATTCATTGTTTTATATACACAATTATATTATTGTATTTTCTCTTGCAGTGATTATTCTAGTGATTATTCTGATTGGACAGCAGATGCTGGAATTAATCTGCAGCCACCAAAGAAAGTTCCTAAAATCAAGACAAAGAAAGTAGAGAGCAGTTCAGAAGATGAAGAGGGTCCAGAAAAACAAAGGCAAAAGCAAATCAGAAAAGAAAGAAAAAAAGGTATTGAAGACAAAGATGGTCCAACATCACCAAAGAAAAAGAAACCCAAAGAGAGAAAACAAAAGGTTGTATTATGGTTACAAAACAACTAACTTTTAAAAATGTTTCTTAGTAATGTTGTTGTGAGCTTTCAAGTCATTTCTGATGTATGACAACCCTAAGACGAACCTAACATCAGCATTTGTTCTTAATAATGATATTCTTTAATGTCTTCTTTGGCATTAGCATTAAATTAATATGAATGATTACAGCTTAAAAACATCCATAAAAACTATGTGCTTATATTATTTACAAGCTGGAATTGCATGTAGGAGATTTTTAAGACGTGCTGCTTTAAATTTTGAGTGCTCATATGTAGTAAGGTCATAGGGTTGGATTAATATGTAGAACATATTTTGTCATTTTCGTTCATTAGTCCCATCACTTCCCTCTTTATTGTTTCAATTTAAAATAAAATCAATTTTTATTAAAAATCACTGAGGCACCACTATTAAGAACATTTAAATAAATTAATAGTTGGGTTGCTGTGAATTTTCCCGGCTGTATGGCCATATTTCAGAAGCATTCTCTCTTGACATTTTGCCCACATCTATGGCAGGCATCTTCAGAGGTTATGAGATGATCTCTTGGAAACTAGGCAAGTGAGGTGGAATGCTTGAGGCAGGTGTGAATGTTGAGGCAGGTGTGAATGTTGCAAATGGCCACTTTGATTAGCATTTAATTAATAGTTGCTAAAGATAATAGTTTGGCACCTACCCAGAAAGTTTTTAAAAAACCCTCTTTGGAATAGCCTGGGAAGTGGAATGCAATGACTGGAGGATGTCTAATCAGAGTACAAATGAAATGTAGTTTTCTTTAAGGGTTTGGGTGTAAATGATACTCTCAAGACAGTTTCTTAAAGTGCTACATTTAACTTGGATTTATGTGGGATTTCTTTAGAGGTTGCCTGTGGGAGTTTTATCAGAAAATGGCTTGACATTGGAAGAATGGCTGCCTTCAGTATGGATTACGGATCCTTTCCCCCGCCGATGTCCATTTGTACCACAAATGGGAGACGAGGTATTTCATTTTCTGTATGACTTTCTAGGCTTGCTTAATGACAGGTCACCCTGTCAAACTGTCTTTGAATCAAATGAGACCTGTTTTAAAATTTTTATGTTTCATATAAGGAGACGTTGAATGTTAGGCATATTTCCTATAATTCAGGATGTGTGTGTGTAATTATGTTTATTGGGTTCTTTTACTATTACCTCCTCCTGTTGGTTGTATTAGTTTACTTTTTCTTCTTCTTAACCAGTACTAGAAGTACACAATAAATATTTTATTTCTGAATTATCTGCCATACATTTTAATTATCTGACATTGTCAAATTCCATCAGCAAATCTCATCCAAATATGTGGAAAGAAAGAAAAAAATGTAATTTGGTGTCAACAAAAGGCTGATATTGGGATATGTGCACATGTTCATGGTAGAAGAACTTGCTTGTCAAGTCCTGAGATATCCAAAGCAAGCCACATATGTTTATATGTATGCATGCCTGTATATATATATCCATCCATCCCAGTACTTCAAATTGGGCCTGGAAATATATCTACAGCTAGTGTTGCTAGGTCTGAATACATGTTGTAGCCTTTGTAGCACCACAGAATGTTACTGAGCAAGTGGTATAGGCTTTAGAAGGCTTTCATTTTAAGTGTGATCTTTTCTCATTTATCAGAACAAGCAGTGAAATGCACCGTAAGCTTCAAAATTGCACATGGTTGAATTCTCACTTTGTAGATTTGAGTTTGCGCCTTGCAAAGTTACTTCACTTTTTAAATATGTTCAAGACAAAGTGCAGTTTAAGTGATATCTCATATGCCTATTTTATTGTCTTAGGAAAATCTTCTATCTCCCACTTGAAAATGGGTACTTGCATAAGATTATATAGAAATATGTAAGGGGTAGCTTTAACTGTGATATCATTTTTCAATTGTTGACCATAAATAAATGTTTGGGAAGCTGACATGCATTTTAAATAATAAATCCACAGTTACATGAAATAGTGGCAGACACTATCTCATTTCTTTTAAATACTGGCAGAGATTTTGGGTGGACAATGTAGCTACAATGGCACAGCTACGATCTGTTTCCCAATCTGATCCCTAAAAACCTATCATAAAAACTGGGCAAACCCTACCAATTTCAGGAGTGCTGTGGTTTTAGCAACAGCGGTGCTGAAGGACGATCATCCTTCCTCCTCCTGCCAGTAAGCCATAATGTGACAAGATCATAATTGAAGTTGCAAGATTCTTTTGTATTTTTTTATACAGGCAGTCCCCAAGTTATGAAGAAGATAGATTCTGTAGGTTTGTTCTTAGGTTGAATTTTTATGTAAGTCAGAACAGGTATATTTTAAAGTATAACTTCAGCCCCCCCCCCCCCCCCAAAATATCTATATTGTTGTGGAAACAAGGATTGGTGATAAATGTTTTTGTTACATCCTTCAGGTTTACTATTTCCGCCAAGGCCATGAAGCATATGTTTCTATGGCAAAGAAGAACAAGATATATAGCATCAATCCAAAAAAACAACCGTGGCATAAGATGGAACTTCGGGTACGACTTTTTCTTATCCCTCTTTAATTTTTAAAGAAAGGTTGCTGAGTTATCCCAAAGTGCCAAATTAGCATGGGTTTTAAAGGATATACCAGCTGAAGTTTTTCTGTAAGACTTGAAACTCTTTATGGACTTTCTGAAGAGTAAGAAATCTAATTATGCAATATTACATCAGAAGAAGAAGAAAATATTACAGTTGTTCGTAATTAGTAGAATTACTTAATTGGATGTGTAATGATAAGATATATAAAAATATATTTCTTCATTTCAGTTAGCCTTGGGAGAACACAGCTCCATTGTGTTTTAGTTCAATATTTCTTCTTCTTTTTGTGCATTTTATTGTGATTGTGTATATTATTGTGATTGTAAAGTAGATTGTGTTAAAATTACAACCCCCCCCCCAAAAAAAAAAAACCCTGACTACAAAACTGCAGAGCAAATCTAGCTGAACTCACAAAGTGAGAATAGCCATCTGAAAAGCAGGATATTTTTAAAATATGGTTTTGTTTTGTTTTGTTAGGAACAAGAGCTGATGAAAATAGTTGGAATAAAATATGAAGTTGGGTTGCCTACACTTTGTTGCCTTAAACTGGCTTTTCTTGACCCAGATACTGGTAAACTGACTGGAGGATCTTTTACAATGAAGTAAGGAAAATAAAAGTTCAAATAGCTGTCATGCTGTTTACTCATAATACAGGGTGTTTGTTCTTTCATAGCACATTTGTTGTAGAAAAATAAAATGTGCTTGTAAGATGAGCCTGGTTTAAAAGTAGCTTTCATGTGTCCATGCCTTTGAACTTCTGAAAAAACAAGCTGCTGCTATTCTCTCTGTCGCAGGTGGTGCTATAACCAAAGGCTACATTAGTTATAGCACCAACTGCTTGATTTTTTTTAAAAAAAGCTGTAACAAAATGTATTGAGTTGTATCCAATAGTGTCTATTCACCAGTAGAATGATGTCTTCACAAAATACAGGGTGTTTCAAAGAGATGGACTCGATCTGAAAATGCTGTCTTGGCAATCAGGAACTGCCCATGAATTACAAACTGGGTGGATGCAGGGAACACCATAGATGTAGCGTATCTGGATTTCAGTAAGGCCTTTGACAAGCTCCCCAATTACCTTCTGGCAAACAAACTAGTCAAATGTGGGCTAGGCAAAACTACAATTGGGTGGATCTGTAATTGGTTAAGTGAACGAACCCAGAGGGTGCTTACCAATGCTTCCTCTTCATTCTGGAAATAAGTGACGAGTGCCACAGGTTTCTGTCCTAGGCTCAGTCCTGTTCAATATCTTTATTAACAACTTAGATGAAGAGTTAGAAGCATGATCATCAAGTTTGCAGACGACACCAAATTGGGAGGAATAGCCAATACCACAGAAGACAGGAGCAGAATTCAAAACGATCTTAAGAGATTTGAGAGATGTGTCGAAACTAACAAAATGAAGTTCAACAGGGACAAATACTTAGACAGAAAAAATGAAATGCAAAGTTACAGAATGGGGGACGCCTGGCTCAATAGCAGTACGTATTGCATTCTCAAAATACACGTGTTGATTATGGGACATGTATCTTAATCTTCAGGGTGCCATAAGGAATTTAAACTTCTGCTGCAACAGGTTAGCATGTTGATTCCACTGAAAAGAGGTGACATAGTTATTGTTTTGTCTACTGTAGACCTTGAGTCAAGGCGTGTGTATGGATTTGGGTGTGGACAACAACTTAAACATGAGCCAATAATGTCATGCTACAGTTAAAAGGCAATGGGAATATTGGCCTGCATAAATAGGAGTATAGTGTCTAGATCCAGGGAAGTCATGCTACCCCTCTATTCTGCCATGGTTAAACCACACCTGGAATACTGTCCAATTCCAGGCACTGCTGTTAAAGGGAGATGTTGACAAACTGGAATATGCCCAGAGTAGGGTGACTAAAATGATCAGGGGTCTGGAGAACAAGCCCTGTGAGGAGCACCTTAAAGAGCTGGGCATATTTAGCCTGCAGAAGAGAAGGCTGAGGAGATAAGATGGCCACGTATAAATATGTGAGGAGAAGTCATAGGGAGGAGGGAGCAGGTTTGTTTTCTGCTGCCCTGGAGACTAGGATATGGAACAATTTTGTTTGTTTATTTATTGATTTGATTTGATTTGATTTGATTTGTATACCGCTACTTCCAATTTTGCTCGGAGTGGTTTACAGAAGTACATTAAAACAATACAATTAACTTTAAAATACAATAAAACAAGAACAGAGTTATTCACCCATCGAAAGCTTGTCAGAAGAGAAAGGTTTTACAGGCTTTCCGAAAAGCAATGACATCAAACTACAGGAAAGGAGATTCCACCTGAACATTAGGAAGAACTTTCTGACTGTGAGAGCTGTTCAACTGTGGAAGTCTTTGCGCTGTGGAAATATTTGCGCTGGAGTGTGGTGCCAGTTCCTTCTTTGGAGGCTTTTCAAGAGAGGGTGGATGGCTATTTGTCGGGGGTGCTTTGAATGTGATTTTCCTGCTTCTGAGCAGTGGGTTGGACTGGATGGCCCATGAGATCTCTTCTAACTCTATGATTCTATGATTGTATGAATGAAATTTACCACTGGAAATAGTGGGATATAGTTTCAAATGATTGTTGCTAGATGTCCCTCACACTGCAGAAGCAGCTCCTGACTGACCTCAGTCATTCACAAAATGGGTACCTTGAAACATAAGGCCTAATGAGATATTCTCTATTTGCAGGGTTATTTTCTTAGCTTTGTTTCTGGCTCAAAATGGTTAGTTAAAACTTGCTAACTTGTTAAGTTATAACTGAAGTCATTAAACTGTTGGTAACTTTCTTTGTAGTTATAACATGTTGCCATTACGAAACATACAGCTTTGAAATTGGGTCCATCATTTTGATACACACTGTAGACTTCCTGGGTACCATTTGGAGCAGATTGGGGAGAGTCTGTAGCAGGAAGAAGAGGAAGGAAAGATTTTGTTGTTAGAGTGACATTTTTAAGTTTTTCATTGTTTTGAGGACAACCTGATGAATAATATGCTTGGTGACCACATTTTCAGTAATCAACTGAAGGAATGCATGTGGCATACACCCACACACACATACACACACATATCTGGGATGAAATAGTGCACCTTTCTATCTTTGCTCTTTTCCCCTTACACTTAGATGGAGGCAAAGTGTAGGATTGCTGTAGGGAATGCCAAAGAGTCACATACAATGACCCCTCACCCACCCTCTCATCCTTTCATCCGTTTTTATTGGTCTTTTCTCTGCTAACATTCCTATACTGATCGTCTGAGTTAACCCATTATGTGTGCTAAATTCTTTCTTGGCATTTATGTATTCAAATATAATTGGCTATAAAGTGGTAAGCAGTGCTCTCATACCATATCATATTGGTTGTACGTAGGTATCATGATATGCCAGATGTTATCGATTTCCTGGTGTTAAGGCAGCAATTTGATGATGCAAAACACAGACGATGGAACATAGGTGGGTGTCTTAAGATACAGTCATATACCAGTGATTGGGGTCAGAGTTCTGTTTGAGTGTAATAAAATTGGATTATTAGCATATTTCAAAGAATACATTCCAACGACATTTATAAAGTTAATGTAAAGTACAAAATTTGAATGGTTGGTTTCCATAAGAAGCAGTGGTCTGGTAATTTTGAAAGCAGTATAGCCTCTTTTTCTATATACCGTATTCACAAAATGTATATGTTAAAATCTCTAGTTAATTTAATGCATTGATAAATAACAAATCTTGAAGTTGAAAAGTAACAAAATCATGATTGATAAACTGATGGTTAGTCATGTACTGACCCATTTCCTGTCTGTTATTTCCTTGTAGATTTAACATTTCTTCCACTCTATTTTGTGACTTTTAATGCTTATTTACTTTGTTGGGTTTTCTTTTTCTTTTTCTTTCAGTTTATACAAAAATAAAATGTTCCAACATAATACAATTTAAATATTATTTTAAGGGTTATATTATGAATGAATATATTTGTTTCTTTTTTATTTCAAATTGAATCGTGAGTCTCGAAGATTTTGTCAATGTCTTTAGAATGTCTATTGAACATATATTTGGTGTTGTCAATACTGGTCAATTTAAGGAAAGAGAGCGAGGTTAATATGGAAGAATTAAACTCTATCATATAAAAATCCTTAGATTAGATAACCATCTCACCAAGTCCTGGGTATGGGATTCAAGTCTTGTGATGTCAACCCTTTGTTCCACATTTAACGTAGAGGCCAATTTATCACCTCAAGACAGTTTTGTCTATGAGCGATAGTGTCTCTGTCTGCTGCATACTGAAATATTTGCAGCAGTGTTCACTTATGTTATATTTATAGAATACCATACTACCATAGAATAATACCATACTATTATGGAAGACTTTAAAATATTACAGAAATGTACTTCTATATCATATATTATATATACCACTTTTCATGTCTGGAAGTATACTACTTATGCCACAGTAGGTTTCAGCTTGAAGAAGAGCCCCCCTTTAGCATATAACTTTATGTGGAAGTTATTCTTCACCTTCCTTGGCCAAATTCATCTATTCAATATCATTAGCTAATTGAAAGTTTCATTGGGTTGCAATTTTTGTTTGTTGTGTAGTTGGCAGTAGTTGAATTTAAAAATGCTGGTAACATTTATGAAAAACCAATTACTGAATTACTGTGGTGTTCTTGTCCAGGTGATAGATTTAGATCTGTAATTGATGATGCCTGGTGGTTTGGGACAATAGAAAGTCAAGAGCCCCTTCAGCCTGATTATCCTGACAGCTTGTTTCAGTGCTACAATGTCTGGTTAGTAACTTTGTTTATATATAATGTTTACCTTTCCTCTTATATCATGTGTTTTAACCATTAACTGCCAAATTATGCTCCTTCTTCTTTAAAATATGGAATTGTGTTTTTCCTCAAAACAGTCAAGTCATTTCATTAATAACCTAAATGTGATTGTCTGATCTTATTTTTCCTTTTTTTTTGTCTTGAAGTTGGGACAATGGAGACACTGAGAAAATGAGTCCTTGGGATATGGAGCCTATACCAAACAATGGTATGTGTCTACTTTCCCCTAGAAGTACAGAAAGGAGACAGAACTTACTATGTACGTATGTGATCAACTGTAAAGATGTTAAGCTTATTTTGCTGTAAAGAAAGGGAAACCTATTTTAATACATTTACAAAACTGTGAAATAATTATTTGTTCAGAATTTCTAAACAGAAAGGTTCTTTTTTCCAGCACTGATAACAAGCCATCAGATCTTAATAATTGCTATATTTGGTCTATTTATTTATCATATCAAGGCCTGAATTTTCTTGGTAATCCCAGCTAAAGTAAGACCAAATGAAATAGATGGCAAATGGCAACTCATTTGGAAGACTTACATCACCATGTAGCTAATAAAATCAGATTTTCTGCGGTTTGCATGTTATCTAAATAGTATGATGAACCACGCCCATCAATAGGCATCCAGTTTTTGGCTGACCTTGCAAGAAAAGCCAGGAATTGTGGCAACTAGCATCTAAGGTTGATTCTTTCTGTATACCAGCTTTTCCCTCTATTTAGGAAAAATGGTAAGAAACAGTGTTGTCAACCTTAATAACAGAGTAATCAAATAATATTATGCCTTATTTCCCAGCTCTAGTGTTGAGGAATGGGCAGGACAATCCTCACCTATATCTGCAGTTCCAAAAGTAGAATGAGGAGTGCCATATTGTGAATGTGGCAAAAGAAATTTAAGCACTTTGCCACATGAATCAGTCTCTGTGTTTATATATTAAGAAGTTTCAACCAAAAGTGTGGAACTATGCACATTATATATTTTAATCTGTTTAATGTTTTAATGTGTTTATTGACTAATTATTAACTGTTTTAATGGAGGGCTATGTTGTTTTGTTTACTGTTGATTTCACTGATATTGAATTGTACTGCAGTTGTAAACTGACTTGAGTCCCCTAAGGGGGAGAAAGGTGGGGTATAAATGAATAGAATAAAACAAAACAAAACAAACAATTACCAAGGAATTTAATTCTATTCTAATGTTGGTAGAGAATTACATTCTTCTTTTTCACTCTGTGTTTTATTCTTCCCCTCTAATTCTATGCTTGAAAAAAGAGTATTAAGATGAATAATCAGAGTATGGTATTTCACCACGTAATAGTTGCTACCCTATAATGGTTACACTCCCCTTTTTTGCCTCCAAAAATTAGCTTCCAGCCTTTCATACTCTTATTGTCACATGTATACTGTTTGGGGCCTGGATCCCACCCACCCCCCCTCCTCTGAGGCACGGCAGTTTAAAAAAACAAAACTCCAAACTGAGCTGTTTGTGGCTTGGATCTTCCCTCCCCTCTTTTACAAGGCAAAATACACAGAAAAACAAAGCTGTTTGTTTGGGGTTCCATATCTTCCCACAGCCTCCTCTCCCTGTCTCAGAGGTAAGGCAGTTTAAAAACAAAACAAAAAACAAACATGCACACAGAAACCAGCGGATCAAAGGCACATCTTTTTCTGAAAAATAAAGGCATTTAAATGCGAACTTTATGCGATGAAATATGGTACTCTTAAGCCCCTCCCCTCCAGAAAATTTGGCACCCTAGTGCAGGATTCCAGGCAGTTATTGAAGATTGGTCATGATTATTCTTGCATGATGTGGAGGTGAATTTTTTTTATTCACATGTATTATATATAATGCTAAAAAAAAACGTGCTAAGATCTAAAGTAACATATAGTCTTTCATTCAGTTTTAACTTGTAAGGATACAAAATTTTGTTTCATAATTGCCTTTGCTAATTTTGATATAAGACAAGGATTGATTTCAAGGGGATGGTTATTTTAGTCTGTTTTAGCTGGATTTGATGAAATAGACAACTTATGCATGAAAGAATAACAGATGCCTAGTTAATAGGGATTCTATGATGTTTTGCTATAAACATCATTTATAGCAAAGCATATGGTATTTACTTTAAAGATTTTTTTTGTCGTGTCAGGAGCGACTTGAGAAACTGCAAGTCGCTTCTGGTGTGAGAGAATTGGCTGTCTGCAAAGACGTTGCCCAGGGGATGCCCGGATGATTTGATGTTTTATCATCCTTGTGGGAGGCTTCTCTCATGTCCCCGCATGAGGAGCTGGAGCTGATAGAGGGAGCTCATCCGCCTCTCCCCGGATTCAAACCTGCAACCTGTCGGTCTTCAGTCCTGCCGGCACAGGGGTTTAACCCACTGTGCCACCCGGGGCTCCGTACTTTAAAGATGAATTAATTGTATTAAATGTATTAATTAATGAGAAATACTGAGTAATGTGTATGTTCCCACAAGTCTAATGTTATATTTATAATATCAATCAATAGCTGCTCCAAAATAGCAGTGGGCCATGGATTATTCATATCATTGTGTCTTTATAGACATGTAGCTCTTCTGCTTGCAAGTATTACTGTATCAGCTGTTACGTTAGTTTTGTTCTTGCTTTCAGCTGTCTTTCCAGAGGAGCTTGGAACTAGTGTTCCTTTAACTAGTGCTGAGAGCAGATCACTGATCTATAAGCCCCTGGATGGAGAATGGGGTTCTCGGAGTCGCGATGATGAATGTGAAAGAATAATTTCAGGGATAAACCAACTGATGACTCTAGGTATTTTACTGTGAATGAATATAGTGACATATATTGATGCTCACTAAATGTTCCTTTTGTTTATATCTAATGGATACAATTTTTAAATTTTCTTTTTCATTGCTTTTCTTATTGGGGTTAGTTAAATTTATGCTTACTAACATTCTAAGGATTTTCACTAAATGGGTGTCAAACTGAGAGCATATATCCACCGGACAGAGAATGCAAAGCCCTTCAATTAGATAAAATAGATTGTCTGTAGTTTGTAGTTATTGTAGTTAGTTTTTGATGTTTAGGATTTAGTAGTCTATAAAAAGTATTTAATCCTTTGTTGATGATGATGTTGATTTATTTTTTGTTTGTATGTATGTTTTCTTTTACTTTGTCTTAATAAAAAGATAATCATAAGTATTCAGAGGAGAAAAATAACATTAATGTCATGGACTTTGGAGAATATTTTTTATTAGGACTTAAATACAAATACACGATCAAGCAACACTGCTTAGTGTTTTTTTATACATTTATAAAAATAATACCTATCTTTAACTATCCAGGCTGTTCTTTAAAATACCTTTACAACTTTAAAAATGCTATTCTTTGATTCAGTTATTACATCTTTGTTGTTTTCATATTTAGATATTGCGTCTGCTTTTGTGGCTCCTGTGGATTTCCTAGCTTATCCAATGTACTGTACTGTTGTTGCATATCCTACTGATCTCAGCACAATTAAACAAAGACTGGAAAATAGATTTTACAGGTGTGTTCCTTGTGAAATTACTTGAAATGCACTTTTGACTTCTATGGCATCTTACATTTTTTGCATGATCATGTCTAGAGTATGGCAGTATTACATAAGGCTGTATTTGAAGTGTGATCAGAAACTTCCTTTTTTCTTTATGTAGCAGCCTTGTTGTTAACACAACCATGTACAAAGAGAATGTAACTCCATGTTGAGACAGCTGCACCTGATTTCTAATGTGTTTCCAGGGATAGTTGGAAGTGATTATGATGACTGTTGAAACCGTGCATGCTTTAGTACTATGATATCTGAAGAATTATTTCCTCTGAAATGAACCTGACTCAGCGATTAAGATAACCTTCAGAGAGCTCCTCAATTTCCCAGTGACTCTAGTGCAGTGGTTCTCAACCTGTGAGTCCCCAGATGTTTTGGCCTTCAACTCCCATAAATCCAACAGCTGGTAAACTGGCTGGGGTTTCTGGGAGTTGTAGGCCAAAACACCTGGGAACCCACAGGTTGAGAACCACTGCTCTAGAGATATACTTGATCTAGAGAGTTAAGATTTTTCTGTGGCTTAAGTTCCAGTAGAGTCTTCTAAAGGTGGCTAACCTCATTTCCCTCAGTAATATCCTTTTCAAGGAAAAGAATGTCATATGTATTTTTATATAGTGTTTTAATCTATCAAATAGTTTGACTTTTTCAATTTTATTTTTAGCTGTTGTTTTTATGTTTTAATTTTAAAACCATCTTGAGTTCTACACATTAAATAAATTGATAAATCAAATTTATCATATTAAATAAATAATACTGTGCGTTTTCTTGTTCTTTCTATTAGATATCTTACATTCCACACAGGAATATAGAGAGAGGAGATTAAGATATTTATTTTAAAAGGTTTTTTTTTAATTTGCTGTAGTTTCTTTTGAGCCTCACAGTATCCATGTACCATGTTAGTGGTGGTGCAAATAAAAACAAAGGATGATAATCATTTATTTAGAACCAGGGCATCATTGCAGAGTATCTGTTTTCAGTTCCAGATCAACCATGAAAGATGTGAAGTAGTAACACAGAGAAGCAAAAAAGTGCACTTTTTTTTGCTTCTAAGCAAATACAGGGTTTCCATAAAATCTTACTACCATTTAAAGATACACATTGTGCCATTTAGTGGTTAATTCCATTTAACAGTACTTTTTTCATCAACAGTGTTCCTGAAATACACAAATGCAATGTGATTAAAAACTTTGATAACCATTAAGTACATAGAAAAAATCTGATTAAGATATCTCATCATTTGCCTTTGTAATATTTTTAAATGGTAAAGAAGAGTTTATTGACACACTGTATAACTAGCCATAAGTTTCTACTATGTAATTATACTTCTGAATTAAAATATTTTCTATTACGTTTGATGTAAGTTTCAAATTAAGCACTGGTAGCTACTCCCCCATACTGTAATTCGTTCACAAAATCTTTTTACATGTTAGATTTTTTAAAATTACAGATGTATTTTTTCACAATTTGTTTTTGTGTTTTCCCCAATTTTTTAAAGGCGTCTTTCTTCACTCATGTGGGAAGTTCGGTATATAGAATACAATACTCGGACATTCAATGAACCAGGAAGTCCCATTGTCAAATTGGCGAAGTTTGTCACAGACCTCCTTCTGCAGTTCATGAAGTAAGCTTCTATATAGAGATCTGCAATGAACATGACATAAGAAGGGTTGTTTATTTATTTCATTTATACCCGACCTTTCTCCCCATGGGGACCCAAGGTGGCTAACAACCACACTCTTTAGTCATAGTTTAAAACAAAAGAAAATACAAAAATTGAAAAAATAGTATGCAGGTGAAACGTCAGGAGAAATGCCTCTTGAACATGGCCATATAGCCCGAAAAAACCCACAAGAACCGAGTGATTCCAGCCATGAAAGCCTTCGACAATACATTGAAAAAATAGTACTGTGTAGTCATAATTTCCTTCAGTAAAAGTTGCTTGAAAGTTTCTACCAGGAGAGTTGGTCAGGAAGCCTGTTTTTCTCTGTGTCCTTGTTCTGGTTTTTGTCCTTGAGGGCCTTATTATGTTACTAGAAATCAGAGACAGGAAAACGTGGGGTTATGGGCCCTCACTAACCCCCCAGGAGTCTTTGGAGGACCACACTTTCCTCTGCAGATCTCCTGCAAAAAGAAAAAAAGAAAGAAATGTTGTACCCCAAATGCCATTTGAGGGACATGCTTTTTGGCCCTTCCTTGACCTCCTGGAAGGATTTTGAAACAAAACATTTGGAATTTTGTTTTTGCACAAGTTTGTTTTGGCCCCTGAGGGGTGGGATGGCTTAAGGGACCCTCCAGACAGGATAGAACCCCCTCCAAATGCTCTAGAGGTCATTTTGTGGCTTTTGTGGTGTTTTTTAAATCCTGGGGGTTGCATTCAGCCTATGAGCTGCACTTTTCTCACTCCTGTTATAAACATTTTAACAACAAATGTATTCTTTGGATGACATGGTGGAGCAACCTATTATGATTTGGTGTCAATCTCCTCTTACCGAGTGATAGGAATATGATGGGAATAAGTTTTCAGTATTAAGGAATGTACCAATAATGCTTTTTTGAAAGCAATGTTTTGATCATAAGGTCCAGCTTTTGTGGATACTGTAGACTAAGTGATAGGATACAAACAGAACCCCATTTTTGGTAAACATTTTATACTGTACTAGAAGCATTTTCCCTGTTTAGAGAAGAAACAGTTGTTGAATCTGTTTGTTGAGACAGACAGTTTTAATTGTTGAAATTTTGCACACACTAATACAATTTTTGCATTGAACAGAGATCAGACTTGCTATGACATAATCCCACTTTATAATGCAATGAAGAAAAAAGTCTTGTCTGACTCAGAGGAGGTAAGTTGACTTAGTGTGCCATAATTTGTGGTTTAGGAGGCATACATTTTCTGAATATTATAAAATATTATAAAATATTTTGCATCTTCCACAGTACCAAATATTACTGCATGTAGATCTTTGATGGTGCTTGTATATATACCTTTGAAAAATACGTAGCATTAATGAGTCACCCTAGAAATAATGCTCAATACTTGAGGATGGCTCCAGATTCCATGGAAAACCTTCCAAAATTAGTCTCTCGGCTCTCCAGAATTCCAAGAAATTATATCTATCTGCTACATGTGATTATGTGACATTTCAATAGTCTTGCTACCAGAGATGTTATGGGCCAAAGAAAAAATCAACAATTTGGACAAATTGTTCACGTTCTCTCAGACTGTTGAGGGGGGTGGACTATAGTTTTTAAAAAAACACAACATATCATTTGTAGTACAAAAAACCACAAAATAGCAATACAATATTTAAAATAAAGAACAATTTTAACCAACATAAACTAACCAGTATTTCAATGGGAAGTCTGGGTGTGCTTTTGGCTGATGACAGAGGCAAGTTAATTAGGGTTGTTGTTGTGTGCCTACAAATCATTTCAGACTAGGGGCAACCCTAAGTCTAAAATATAGGATGGAGGGGGAGTAAATGACCCTGGAGGGCCACACCTGGCCAGTAGGCCTTCGTTTGAGGAGCCCTGTTCTAGAGACCTAATAGAAACAAAATATTTTCTTTTTTCACTAATGTCAACAGTTTCTTGCTTTTTTTATTTTTTACTTCTCAGATTTATAAACCTAGAGAGGTTCCTTATAATCCAAGTGTTATATTCAGAAATGCTCCACTTTTAATACATCAAACAAGACGCCTTTCTGCCAAACCAAATTATAAAAAATGCATTTTCTGTATATATAAAGTAAGATAACTAAAATAATAAAGTGACTTTTAATCTGTAAAAGGATGTTCATATTGCATAATATGTTCTACAGATAGGCAAGTGAAGCTTTGGATCCTGCAAGGGAGGGAGAAAATGTCAGCTAGACCAAGTACAAAAAGTCAAATGAGCCATTTTAAGTCTCCAGCCAACCCCACTGGAATTAAATTGTGGTTTCTAAAAATTTTGTTTATGAATTAAAATAAGATGTTGGGTTTGGAGGATACTAATGTCCCCTGGAGACTTACAAAGGCATGATTCTTCTTTCTGTTCTTTTTTAAAGGATGTGTTTTGTTTTATGATCCCAGGGCCACAAGTTTCCCACCTTCATCTCATTGGACGTGGGAAGGAGCTATGATTAAATAAACAATTTTGATATTTATTGAATTTAAGTATTTTTCAAATGTTTAGTATATTTACACCATATAATTAATATTTTATTGCTCAAAGGAAGAAGAGAAAGACGTTAACATGCCAGGCACTTCCACTAGAAAGAGGAAGGTAAGATTTCTTGCTTGATTTCTGCTTTTGATTACATGTGAAGATAGATGTAAGCAAGGAATCTTTTTGAGATTAGTTAGATGAAATGTACCTTTGTTTTCAATAAGATTATTGTTTGCTTTAGCAACTGTTAACATTAGCATTAATAATAGTTGCTACCCCAGTTTCACACATGGAAACAAAGAGTCTGCCATTAGCAGATGTCACCAAAACAGAGATGTTCACTTTAGTGTTTTTGAGGTAAAACTGCCAAATAGATCCCACACAAACACAAAACTGTGTCTCAAGTGCATAGTGCAAGATGGCTAGTAAAGAGAAAATTAAATGATGATTATGAGAGTGATAGCATCTTCATCATTTGTTTTTATAGTATTATTGCATTATGTAGCATTGTACAAAAATAAAATAGCCCTGCCAAAGATATACAGTTTCATCCAAAAAAAAGGGGTAATGTGTGGTCTAAAACAAATATAAAGACCACTGCAGTGAAATTACAGAAACAGACAGTTCAACAAGTGATGAAAAGTAATGAAGGCTGAAAAATATGGAGGAGTTACATTAAATAAGGATATTAAAAGTTAATTCCAAAAGATTTGTCTTTATTTTGTCTCAGTGGCTACTTTTTTAAATAAAGCGTAATCAATTTTGCTATTCCAGGATCATCAGCCAAAGCGGAGGCTGCGTAATAGAGCACAATCCTATGATATTCAGGCCTGGAAAAGGCAGTGTCAGGAATTGTTGAATCTGATTTTTCAGTGTGAAGATTCTGAACCATTTCGTCAGCCAGTGGATCTTCTTGAATATCCGGTGAGTATTTGATAATGTTACATTTCAGTTGAGGTATCCACATTAATAAAATAAAGCAGAATAATAGCTTAAAATAAATGAACAAAATGTAGTTTTAATCAGGAGATAATTATTTTTCTACCTTGTACTATCATTAAATACTTGTATTGGGATTCATAAATGTGAAGCATGATTTCTTGTACGTTGTTTAACATTTTCCTAGAAGAAGATATTCTTCTGGGCTTAAAGTATATTTGAATTACAATTTGTCGTTTTATTAAAAGTTTATCTAGAAATATTGTTCATAAAGTTGTAATTTAATCTTCCTTCTTTGAAATGAACAAATTAAAATTTATGATTTTTTTTTTAAAAAACAAGGATTACAGAGACATCATTGACACACCAATGGATTTTGCTACAGTTCGAGAAACACTAGAAGCAGGGAATTATGAATCTCCAATGGAGTTGTGTAAAGATGTGAGACTAATCTTCAGCAACTCCAAAGTTTATACACCATGCAAAAGATCAAGAGTAAGTCTTCATAATTTGTACATATTGGCTTGATTTTTATTTGCTGTGCTTATTCTGAGTGTGCAGCTGCTACTGATATGCACTTCTGAGATTCTAAAGCCTTAGAAAGACCTTGTTTAGTTAAATTTACATAAAAATGCTATATTTTATAAATTAAAGGAATCTAAAAGCATTTGATAAATGAAAGACCTCTTATTTTCAGTCACTGCTACAGCAGTGTTTGATTTGAGCAGTTCATAACTCTTTTGTGGTTTGATGTTAAATTAATAAATATCTGAAAGCATGTTTCTAGAGTTATGCTATGGTCAGATGAATGAAATAGCTGATGTACTGGAACCAGTTTTAACCTTTATCTAGCTGTCTTTCACAGAGTCTCTGTTACTGAGATGATGATAATGGTTTAAACATTGGAACTGAAAGACAGGACAAGAATGATTTCAGTCTTTTATTTTGTAATGTGTTGTTTTATATTAATTGATATTGTTACTGTTTAACATGTTGATATAATTTTACCTGTATTTTTATGTGTTTTATGGTACTATTATGTGCTGCTGTAAGCCGCCCTGAGTCCTTTTTGGGAGATGGTGGTGGGGTACAAATAAAGTTATTATTATTAATGAGGAAGATAGTTCACAATAGTACATTGAAGTCCAAGCACCTTCTTTTAGGAACGCATTAATTCCATTTTATCCGATTACCAATTTGCTTTGCATTTTCATAAAGGAAGGGCATGTAAGTGAAGGAAAAAGCACTACAAGCAGTTTCACATCAAAGTATTATACAGTGGCTTGTCCTGATCCACATGCTCCCTATTTGTGATTTCAACTAACTGAATTGTTTTGATTCATGTCTAAAATGGCAGTGATGTGCATGTACTGATTTAATAATGTGGTTCCATCTTCATTTTCTGCCATCTGAAACTGAACCTCTGCGTATTCTTATAATTCTTTAGGGGTGCTGCATTTTCTCCACAAACATTTGTGGAGATTCTTTATAGGACTAAAACCTTATGTTACCAGTCATCATTCCTGCACACCCAGATACAGCCACCATAGTAAGGATATAGGGCATAATTAATTGCACCTCTGTTATCACTATCCAGCTTGGATCTTGCTTTCTTCCCCATGCAACTTGTAAAACATGGAAAGTGTCCAGAGCCCTCCACTATCCACCTCCTCATTGCCACTCTTCTGTCTCTATGTGTTCAGGATGGGAGCAGGTAGAGATCTTGGATTCAGAAGTGCCATGCCAGCAATATAGATTAAGTGTCATTGATGTATTCATCTGTTTAGGTTACTGTAAAGGATTTCTTAGGATGAAATAAACTCCTCAAGATGTACTGTTATACTGATTGTTTAAAATCTTCCATAGATTTACAGCATGAGCCTACGCCTGTCTGCCTTCTTTGAGGAACACATTAGTTCTATTTTATCAGATTACAAGTCTGCTTTGCGTTTTCATAAAAGAAGCACCGTTAAAAAAAGAAGGAAGAAAAGAAGTAGAAGCAGTTCTGTTTCTAGTAGTGTTGCATCAAGGTATGGTATACCATCCTGCTCTTCTAAATGCAGTGGCCTGAATCCAAAATTACTCTTAGGTAGAATACATCAGTTTAATGAGTGGAACTTACTTAAATGTTGACTTAATTTCCCATGGATTCACTGGGTCCTTTCTAATTGGAGATATGAATTGGATTTGACCCAATATCTGCCTTGTTTTTACTGCTGTGAGAGTTCTTGATACCTGCTTCTATTGCTCCTATACTTAGTATAGAAAGGGTTTTACCATCTTGATTCTAAGAGTGATCTGAGGGTAACTGTTAATATTTCCTCTTCATTTGTGCCTTACCACAACCTATTGAGAATTCTCACCCCCATTTGAGAATCAGACTAATCAATTATTATTTTTTCATTCTTTCACCACTGGAAAGAATAAAAATGGAGAAGCAATGATTGGAATCTTATTGACTCCAGAAACCTGAGTTGGATTATCCACAGGTCAATGTAAATACTATACCTTAACTCATATAAAAAAGACAATTCCCTTCTTTGGTTAGAATGGGGAAAGGTAAGAGCTTTGTCCATTCTGGGAGAATCTAAATGAAGCAGTAACCCCTAGTTCTAAAGCATTTTATCCCTCTGTTCTGCCAAAAAACATCACAGTGGGGTCCCTGGAAATTGCTGAAGAAACGCTGAGAGAGTTGGTTGAAACGGATTACATTTGCATATCCAGTTGATGGAGAAAATTGAAACTGTGAGAAGCTTTAATTGAAGATCAGAAGGTATACCGTCATTTTAATCTGAAGTAACCCAATTGTTATTGCCATCTGTTTGTAGTCCAGAAAGGAAACGGCGACTAATAAAGCCGCAGTTGAAAGCTGAACCCACATCTGCCCCTGTCTCCTCTGCACCTGCCCGGGGAACATCCCTGAGAAACATTGCTGCTCAGATGAATGGGAAAGCGGTTGACTCTGCAACTTTGGTCCGAAAAAGGAGTACAAGGGCAGTAACAGAAATAGCTAATCATGAGCAGCCATCTACTTCAGCAGGAAAACCTTTAACTGTGAAACCTAGTATTGTTGCACAAGGAGTGCCAGGTGGGTGAATTCGTTGATACCCTTTTCAGCTTTTAAATCTGTGATAGCTCCCATTTTAATATTATCGGCTGCTCAAGTACGTGTTTCTTTTTCAGTGTTGGCAACCTGATTTTAGGATATTACATGTCTCCTCTTTATTGGAGGCTTTTTCATTCTCTCAGACCTCTTAAAGAATTTCATTCTCGCAGACCTCTTAATAACTAATCTGTAATATGTTGCATATTTGTGCTGCTAAACTAGTTTCACCTCTTTCTCTTGTTTTATTATTTTATTTTAATATTATTTTACCTTGTGAACAGCCCAGATAATATACATTAATGTTCTGTAAAGTTCAGAAGGCTAAATTTCATTTTATTCTAAACCAGAGTTATCTGTTAAGGTATACATGAAGTGCATCCATTCTGTTTAATAATTCTATAGAGTTTGAAATTAAATTGGATTTAGTTCTTAAATTAAGGTCTAATTATGTAAATGGTGAAGGTGTGGGAAGACATAAAGAAGATGAATGGACTCATTTTAATTAAAAGGCGTATAACAAACATTTGATACAGATTTATTTACTTAATGAGTGGGACTAGTAGAAAATCTTGGATTTCAAATGCTTTTTTGTTGTAATTTTGCTTCCACAGTGCCAGAAAATTCTACCAAACTCTCCAAGAATCAGAATATGTTACCAGTCCCTAATCAAACCAATTACACTCACAACACTAGAAATAATACTGGAAGAGAAAATGTGGAAAAAGATAAACCAATTAAACGTAAAATCAAACCAAAATCTTCCACCAGCAATCCACAAGGTGAGCTTGGGGTTTTATAAAATTATTTTAGAGTGCGTAATAACAAGACTGAAGCTTTAGGAAGTAGGAAAAAATCCTAACTGGAGAGTGGGAGCTTGACATGAGAGCCATCACATCCCTACATCTTCACCTGCTACATCTTCCGAGTGTAAAATGACAAGCCTTCAGTCCAATGAGAAAACTTGCTGTGGTTTCAGGTTTCCCATGTTAACTCTTTACAATATGTGTAGTACCATCTCCTATCAGATGAACACAACATTCCTCTCTGGGAAGTAAGAAGGAATCAATTAATTTGTAGCACCTTTGGGAAATAATAAGCTTCATAATCCATAACAAAACCTTCATCTCCATGAGAGGTGGTAAGTTTCAGAAAGTGAGATATTCTTCCTATTCCTAGATAATCCCCATGCACTGAAGATAACTTCTCTTAGTCCTGTTCTGTGAATTTTGAATATAGCCTGCTTCTGTGGTTTACAACAAATGGTTATACTGCTGTGAAGAGAATCCCCCCCCCCCCCCATGTCTGAATTTTCTGGCTGTGTGATTTGAATATGCCAACTCTTTGAAAGTTGACAAACTCACTTTCCATAACTCCCATAATATATTGTAAATGTCCAATCACATTTGACTGTTCTCCCAGGTTGAACAGGTAGATTATGTGAAAGAAGGAAGATGTATCACTGTGTCCTCAATGGATGCATATTACAAAGAAGGTAACGGTTGGGAAATTCTTTGTTCATTCCAATTTTGTTTTACATTTTTAAATAGAATTGAGGTCTATGTGGTATGTTGTTGAAAATGGTTGGTGCAAGCCTCTGACATGTAGTTCTGCCTTTTAGCAGATTGCAAGAAGAGCGCTGTGGCTTTGGCATCAGGAAGCATCCAGGTGAATGGACACGGAGGACAGCCCTCAAAGCCCGTGTTTAAGAGGGGTCCTGGACGGAAACCCAAGAATGAGACTAAAAACAGCTGTGAAGTGGTACCCAAAAAAAGAGGAAGAAAACCAAAAAGCCTGTTACTTGCTCAGCAGCAGAGTTTGGAGCAGAATGCAAACCAAGTCACTAAAGGCTTGCCAACAGAGGAAGCCTCTGCTTCTACTGCATGCAATTCTGTCCCAGAAAATAATGTGAAAAAAGACCTATTACCAAGGAAAGGACGTGTAGGTAGAAAGCCAAAAAGAAAGCCACAGGCAGAGCAACCAGGATTGGAACATAAGTTTTCTGCAGATCCTAAGATTCAGACAAGAAGCAGGAGAAAAAAAACAGATGGACCTGTTGAAGAAGGGGATGCAGAGCCTGAGGAGTGTAAAGACTCTGAGCCTCACATGAGAACTAGAAACCAGGGGAGAAGGACAGCTTTTTACAATGAAGATGACTCAGAGGAGGAGCAAAGGCAGCTGTTGTTTGAAGACACCTCTTTGACTTTTGGGACATCTAGCAGAGGCAGAGTCCGAAAATTGACTGAAAAAGCAAAGGCTAATCTGATTGGTTGGTAACTTCAGCATTTTAAAAATGCTCATAAATAGGTACAACTGAGGAATTAGAAGACCTATGGATACTGCTTTTGGCTGCTATTCACAAGTGAGATTGGTTTTTGATTTGGAGAAATAGAGCAAAAACAAACTGAACGTTTCTTTGGAAGAAGTATGTATTTTAAACATTTGCTATTTATTGCCCTCCAAGTAGGTTATGCATTTCAATTTACTTCAGTTGGAATCAAAGATTGTATAAATGAAACTTGATTTGGAGAGATGCTACTGTAATTTTGAACAGTACAACCTCTAATTGATTAAAATGAGAGAATTTTTAATGTAACAGACTGAGAACAGAACTATTTTTGAATGAGCAAGGTACAGTACATTTGTATAGAGTGTAGTATCTGTGTTTTTCAGGATATTAGCAGAGTATGGCAGTAGACACTATTGAGAACAAATGCAAAATTGCCAAACTTTGCCGATTCGGTAGCATTTAATTCGGTAGTGATTGGGCACACTTTTTGGAAAAACCAATGTAGTGCAGGTTGTTTTATCTATGTTCTGCCAGAGAGAGAAATTACAGTGTGTAAATCTATATATTTATATATAGATATGTAGATATATATGCATACATATATATATCCACATTGGAAAAAGTTTGACTAATATGTCTAATTTTTCAGACCTTCATTCTCGTATCAATCAAATCTCTGTTTATCGTGCCAAAGACTGAAAACCGGTACAGTGGAATAGTTTTGAGTGTCAGTGCAGCCTACAGTTTCAATTATGTTTATGATTCCATGTTCAAAGTATAGATTGTTCTGAAAAATTATCTCTACTGATACTTTGTAATAAAAAATACACAATAATGCACTGGTGGGATCCTTTAAAAGAACTTGAGGAAAAGTTATAAATTGTGTTAAAGGGATCAAGGAACATGCAGGAAAATATGAGATTCTGGTGTTTATGTTATTATCATATTAGCAATTACTACAAATTGTGTTAAACGGACTAAAATTACTTTCTGAAGAAGTATGTGCATATACATATTGAATATGTACACTAGCACATCAGTACACAATATTACCCAGGTATAATTGTTTCAGGACTTTTTAGATAGTGCTAGAATATTATTAATTTTTAAAATGTCATACTATAATTTTACGGGGAATAATTGGTTATTTTCAGTCATTAAAGATAAAAAGGCCAAATCACGTATGCAATCATGTTTTATACAGTATTCGCATTGCACATTGTTTTCTGCACTTTTTACAGTATACTTATCAAGCTGACATGAGACAATATAAACACCCTAAAGGAAAAATCCCACTTTATGATTGTGCCTTGTATTCTATTATTTTGTGCATCTTTAGTAAGCTTAAGTTGTCTATTGTAAATGATGACTATATGACTTAGGAGAATGTATTGTTGTATGTACTGCAATGGAAAAAGACAGTTATTTATTTATGGTACATTTACTTATTTTATACTTTAAATTTTAATACAATTTTATTGTTTAAAAGCATAGTCCAATTTAAAAAAAATACAGTCAATCTGTAGCATGGTACAAAAATGTAACTACACTTTTCATAGAACATTGGGGAAAGGAAGAGATAATTAAAAACAAAAGTTTCCATATTTGTGAAAACTGCCTGGTCTTGAGCAAGAAATGAAAAGTTGCAACAGTGGGCTCCTCATGCATATATTCACAAAAGGGGTGTGGTGCTGTCAACTTGTAGGAATGCAGTGTGAAGGGCGAGGATCTGAGTCAATCACTTGTGATTCCACTATTATAGTGGTTCTCAACCTGTGGGTCCCCAGGTGTTTTGGCCTACAACTCTCAGAAATCCCAGCCAGTTTACCAGCTGTTAGGATTTCTGGGAGTTGAAGGCCAAAACATCTGGGGACCCACAGGTTGAGAACCACTGCTCTAGTGGAAAGGGGAGGGTAGTCACATTGCCCAGCATTCTGAATAGATTTTTAACTCCACCAAAAACTGGCATTGGCTATCTGTTTTGTTCCATATTCAGTTTTCAAGCCAGTTTTGAGAACAACAGATAAATCCAGCCCCAGAAGCCAAGAAGGCTGCACAACCATCTTCACCTTCTGCACATGTAGATAACATATGACCTGTTTTCAACCGCACACAGTGGAAAACAGCTGAATTAAAATGCACTTCTGATGTTACTACCAACATCGTGCACAGTAGTGTCATTCAATCTCTTCTGAGATAGTTAACCATGATATGAGTTGCATCACTTTATAGAAAATTGGAGAACAGAGCTTTAATTCCAGTTGCCTGGTTAATTGTCATTATTTTCCTAAGGCAAAACAAAGTTTACAGTCTGGGTGAACCCCCTTTCATAAGCCTTGAGTCCCTATATCAGAAGAAATGCAAGATAAAAGAAAGTAAATAAATAATAAGGCTAAGATCATGACATGGAAAACAATCTCAGAATGCTACATAGTACATGTGATATAGCATAATGATTTATGTGAGCTTGGTTTTTGATTGGCTTTTAAAAATACATATTTATTTCTAATATTGCAAGCATTAAACATGAAAACATTACATAAATACTGTGTATCATGGTAGAATATTTCATATTTCAGAGTTATTGTAGTTTTGTATTTCCCAGTTTTAATAATCTCATTTAAGATTCTCTGATGTTGTCTGTGTCATCATACAAAAGATTTATATTTATATAAATCAATTAATAGGTGTATAGATGCGTGTGTTTGTGTATATGTGTATACAGATTTTCTTGTGATTTCAGTTTCCTTGATTTGACTTCATGTTGCTGGATTTGAGTGATCGGCAAAATTCTCATTATATCAACACATTGAACTTCTCATTTAGCACATTTTAAAGCGAGCAATAATTATTGGTTCAGTAGCTTTGGATGGGTAGGGAATATAGAAGATGTGCTATGGATAATCCTATCTCAAGCATAATCTAATGTGTATTTTATGAAATAGTTACATGGATAGGTGCAGTTTATGTTGACACTTACAGTTATAGAAATTGTTATCTCGAACTTGGCAGTTATGAAAACAAATGGTAAATGCTGGTACTGGTTCTGATGGAAGGCCATCAATTAATCTGTAAAGTTGGCTGTTAAATCCTTTGAGAAGCAACTAGTTGACTCACTTCAGTAATTATAAACCCCAATGCTGGCTTCATTTAAAACTGGTACCAACTCTTAATCCTAATTGTTTCCCAGGATCATATTGGATGTTGAACAAATAAGGTTTTTTATCTGCACATTTTGATGAAAACTTCCAAGAACGGATTTTCAATAGCAATGGGCTGCTGTGAGTTAAAATTGTCCAGTTAGATGTACCATCCCTCCCACTTTATACATATTCAGTTGCTTCTGCAGTATTATTTTGGATTAATCTGTGTAACATACTGTTCAAAAAGTACTGTCAAGTTTTAAACATAAAAGGCACATACCTGTATTTGACACACATAAGTCATGTATTGTGTTACATCTACACTGACTTTTAAATGTTAAAGGCCCCAACCAGTGGTGCCCTGTGAAGCTCATTGTTGCTTTCTATGAATAGAATAAGTCCCAATGTGCTGATAAATCTGCAATATCAGCTTTGCTACAAAATAATCATTTTGGATGACCTGGTCCACAATCTCTGCATGGAGCATGGAGCAGCACATGTAGATGTTTCCTTCCTCTGATTTTCCCTCTCCACCAGTGGACTTCCTCACAAGTGGAAAGCTGCACTGGTGGGCCAGTTGTGTGTGTGCCCAGCATTGGTATGTTAGAGACCGACTGGATCGGATTTTACTGTATGTTTCATGTATCGCTTAATCTTGCACTTCATTTAATTGGACCTAAGCATTCACCTGATAAAAGGGCTGTCAGTTTTTGCTGTAAATAATGTGTACATATATATATATGTTTATACTTTTTAAAAAAATGGTGTACATTTCATATATAGTGATCAAGTCTGAAAATAATTTCTAATATAAAAAAAATCTGGTATGGCATTTTTAATATGTTAACTTTACATAATTTGTATTTTAATCAGGATTTACAAGTACTATGGAAAAATCATGACACATTTAAAAAAAACTTTGGAAGCACTCCTATTTTTGTTTTTCAGTTCAGAGTAGTTTTAGAATAGAAGGTACTTTGTGTTTCAGGAAGGCTACAGTTATTGGATGAAATCTAGTGCGATGTTCGCATGAAAAATCCTAGTGCTGGTGTTCTTTCTTTAGTGTATTTTATTGCCAACGCATAAAGTCCTGAGAACAGGATTTCTGCTAGTGGAAATATTTTTGTATCAGCTGACACATACCATTTGCTTATTAACCTTTGTACATTTTTGTGTTTTAAAAAGTACCACAGAGGAGAGAGAACATTTTGAAGATGTTAAAAAGACTGAATCTGCCTCTTTAAAATATAAATTATTTGTGAGTGTTTATGTCACACATTTTTCCTTTTGATACAGAAATTAGCAAATGCTAAATATTGGCTTAAAAAAATAAAATGTGGATAATTGCATCAGGAAACCTTAAACTATGTTTTTAAAAATGATTTTTATGTTGATAAAATACCAAACTTTTAAAGAAAAAATATCAGCACCAAATCCGTACACTTGCACAGGGGGCATTTACCACGGTATATGTATCAAACACAGGTTTAATAAGCTGTTGACACACTTTTCAAAGTTACATTTTTGGACCATTAACACTGAAAAAACCTGACATGTGGGTCCTTGAGTGATTTATTTAAACTTTGTCACTTAATGTTGAGGCATATATTGTAAAGCAATTTAGGAAAATTATCTGGAATAGAGTTTTGAAACTGACACGTTATAAACCGATGCCTATTTTGTATAGTATGTAAATCCAAAACATAGCATACAGTTTTTAAAAAATCTTAATTTTTGTCAATGTTAATTTCTTTTAGAAATCTGCTTTATCATGTTATAAAGTGCAGTCTCTCACCTGGATGAACAGTGCCCTTTCTTCTTGTACATACTGATTAAAACTTTTATTGTTATGTGAAACACGTTGGTTTTGATGAATACTACTTGGAATCCTTTTATACAAACTAGAATGTATGTGTAAGAATTACTGTCACTGCAATGTAGTAACTACAAAACTATTTTTAAATAAATAAGAGAACTCGTTTTTCTAAGCAGGCTGTGTCATTGCTGTAAATGCTTAGGTTACGTAGGCAGTGGGTTAGATCTAGGCTTAAGCTCAACAAGAGTTTCCTTTGTCTCTTGTTCCCATTTTTCCATGCAATTCTGTAGTTTTAAAACCTTGGGAAGTGCAGCTAGGCCTCAAGGAGGAAGAGAAAATGGGGGAAAATCATAGTTGTCTGTTTCCTGCAATAATAAATTCCTACTAGATCTTAGGTCTAGCTGAACAGTAGAGTCTACCCTGGACCCAGTATATTTCAAATCATTTTATTTTTAGAGGACATCCATGTTATCAGTCATAAAACTTTCATACAGAATGTGAATAAAAAACCCTGGGTTAAATCTGAATGCCATCCATATGTGCGAGTATAATACCACTAGAGATTTGGTTTTTTGCAGATTTTATTGAAGTAGGGGGAAGTTCCTGTAAATTTACAGACAAGTCTGAAAAAAGTAATACAGAATGGTTGTCAAGTTGGGCCTAAAGATACCTGGGACCAGTGCCAAAGTTGACAATAGGAACACCTACCCTCCGAAGTTCTGAGCATAAATTTTAATAGATTTATGCAACTTGAAGAGAAACCAGGGTATTATTTTAACGTTCTTTTAACTTGCACAAAATCTTTATGAAATTGTCTACAAAGGCTGTCAGTTCCATTTTGGTACAATTGTTGTATGTCTTCAAAGCCTTTGAAAAAACCTAAGACATAGTTTTCATAAATGGAATGCACTGTATTGAAAATTTGAACTCTGGTTTTAAATCGGCAATGTGTGTGTTTTTTGTGGAAGTAACTTATAGCCGCCCAGCTGTCAGGACAGAAATACGTATCAGGCCTAGCAAGCGATGGATGATGAGAGTTGCCATCCAACTCTTAGAGATACAGTTTCACACAACTGTATCTTTAAGCAGCTACACTTAACAGAAAATGGCCTTGGGCTGTAAAGACATGACTATGCTGCCAGGGATCACACAGCATGTCAGTCTTGTAGTTCTGTTTTTTTTTTTTAGTGTGAATATTGAAGTGCAAAAATCAAATATTTTGATTGCTTGCTTGATTATAAAAGTCTATGAAGGAACAAATAGGCTACGTTGAGAAAGCATCAGATAAAACTAAAATAAGAGCTTTATGCAATCTTAAATATTATAGCTTAAATTTTACAGAACTCTAGTTCACTTCATGAGATGTCACACTGAACTGTTAACATTTTATTTCCTGTAGCAGACTTAAGAAGCTATCCCACTCACCTCAGTTAAATCTCTATTGCTTTGCTACATGTATTTGGTACCCTAGATGGAACATGGAAACTTACAAATGAGCCATTCCATCTAATGTATGTACAGAGAGAACTGTTAATGTGATTCTCCAAGAGTACAGACTAGCCACAGAACTCAAATAGACAACTATTACGCAAATCTGATCTTTCATACTTGGGAGGGGAAAAAATGAAGTGGGAACTTTCGTTTCCTATATACTTTTGTCATACAACTCTTACAAGCAAACTAGAATTAACCCTCTGAAAAATGCAATTAGCAAAATAAAATATGTAAAATCTTGTAGGTCATAGAGTTGCACCTTTCAAAAAGTCCAATTGTATGTAGCTCCATTAATAGCTGTGCTTAATATTTCCTTTCATTCCGATTCAACAAATTCTATGCAGACTGTACACTGGCAATACATTGAAGTTAACATCACGTTTGATCCACCATTATCCCACCACTTTTTAAAAAACATACTTTTTTACTTTTAGCATTTTTCCCAGTGTGAGTGTTTCAGTATTTCCAGCCCATATTTTATTATTTTTGAGCATATCAAAGCTGTGCTTGGGACATTTGCTGTTTCTGACAGTGACCATTCTGTCATGTTTCTGACTTCCAATATTTAACCAGTATATTCCAGACTATGCTAACGTATTCAGCTAGGGAAACTATTATAGTCCATTATCAATGTAAAGTCCTCTATAGCAGGGGAGCAAATTGTCTGTGTGACTTAAAGTTGCCTATTGATTTATGGCAACTCCACGAACTTCATCATCTTCTTGGGCAAGGAATACTGGTTTTGCCATTTCCTTCCTCTCAAATATATCAGCAGTCTTCCATCCAAGTACTGACCCTGCTTAGTTTAATGTGTCTACCCTAGAGGGGATCTGGTGCCTTCCAGTTATCATGCAACCTGCTATATATTGTTGGATTGGATCTCCCAGCAGCCCAACATCTAGAACTTTCAATGATAACCACCTTTGTTAAAATAGGATATATTTTTGATATTCTAACATCCACTCACTGCTTGTACAAAGATTGGAGCAGATCCCACACATGAAGTCAAATGTTAGAGAGGGTTGTGTACACTTGCAGAATAACTTCATACCAGAAGATTACGTTTACCAAACCCTAGAGCAAGTGCAACCACTTCTACCCCTATCTGAATGCTAGCACAGTACTTCAGTAAGATGATGATCACTAGTAATCCATCAGGTAAATTAATAAGACCTTGCATAATAACATGGTGGATTATATCCAGATTATTTTTCCATTTAGAAAACAAATTGGACTACAGTGGAGGCATCCTTTTCCCATACAAAGCTGGTCTGGAGTCCCCCACTCTTTCAGCCCACTATGGAAGGTAGTTCTATGGCCGAGTGGATAGAGCAAATAGATATTCTGTGTCGTGCCAGGTTTAGAGGAGTTCAACAGAAAATTTATCAAGCCTTTTATTATATATATAGTTCAGCTGTTGGAATACTTTTTAAAAGTGAAAACTGTTTTGTATTATTTGAAGGTAATTGGTATAATGCTTAAAAAAACTTAGGAGTGTAGATCTTATAAGACTTAAGCAACAATTCTTGATTCCTTCAAGTTTCATCCAGGCAAGAAAAGTGAGAAATAGTTTGAATAAATGAATACATTTTCTAATAAATAGCTTATTGTTAGTTAACAATTTTATTCTCCTTAAGTTTTCTTGAACACATAAGGGGATTCAACATTAGAAAAAAAGTATTTGTGGACACAAGAGACTCTTCCCCTTGTGATAAAGGCATACTCAAGTCTGGCTTCAATCTGAAGATTGAAGCCAGACTTATGTATGTCTTTATCACAACAGAAAGATTCTCTTCTGTCACATGTGATGCCCAGTGCATAAAATTAAAGTTGGATACAATGTTATTCGATGACCAAGATAATACATAACTGTTGTCCTCGTTTTAATTTCTGCTCATGGAAATACAAGCTGATCCTCTTGAAGGCTCCCCCCCCCCTCATAGGACAGCAAAACCAATTACAAATCAGTTCAAATTTAGAAGAGCTGCTTTTTTCCTCTTCCTGTCTCCCTTTATTTCAAAAACAGCAAATATCCTTGAGGAAGCATAGATGGTGGCACTCTGGAGTCTTTGTTGCAAACTTGGTGAGTCTGAGAAACTGGCTGTGTGATTTTCTGGATGCCCTTCCCATTCCTTTACTTCTTCTTCCCTTATTAGCAAAGGCTTCCCCAAGGACTGGCCAAACAATTGGCAGACTTCTTGTGCTTTTTGCTGAGCACTTCCTACAGCTGCAAGGCATACTTGACGGCTGGAAAAAAACAAATAGGAAGATTCCATTAATGGAGTCACAGGAAGTAGTTTGTCCATTCAAGCCATTATTTATCTTCCTTTTATTCTACTTTGCCCAAAATTGCAGAACAAAACTGCCAATTTACTCAAATGAGTAGGAGTTGCTTTCAGGTAAGTGTATGCAGGACAGCAGCTTCAAGATTATGTCATGATGCACATCTGAACCAATATTTTCTGTGAGGGGAAGTCACAGGGAGGAGGGAGCAAGCTTGTTTTCTGCTGTCCTGGAGACTAGGACGCAGAGCAATGGCTTCACACTACAGGGAAGGAGATTCCACCTGAACATTACGAAGAACTTTCTGACTGAGAGCTGTTCAGCAGTGGAACTCTCTTCCCCCAAGTGTGGTGGAGGCTCCTTCTATGGAGGCTTTTAAACAGGCTGGATGGCCATCTGTTGGTGGTGCTTTGAACGCAATTTTCCTGCTTCTTGGCAGGGGGTGGACTGGCTGGCCCATGAGGTCTCTTCCAACTCTACAATTCTAAGTACTGACAATTTTTTCTTGTATGTCATAGACTAGGTCCAATATCTTGTCTCTGCTAGAGTAAAGCCACTAACTAATCAGAAATAACATAAACACTGACTTGCAACTGAACAGTTGAGTCAATTCTCCTGCTTTAGTTCAGATTAGCATATGGATGTAGACATTTTTTAAAAGTATAAACCTATAAGCAGAGTTTCTATCACTATTCTGTGTAAGATATTCTTGAGAGCTTAGAAAATAAAATAAAGATGCTTTAAATAGATATAGGTTGAACTTCATCCTCACCCCATCATGTTCTCATTCTAGAGGCAGAGAACATACAGCCAAGCAAGTAAGAGAACTATGGTCAAGCAAGAGAACAGCAATTTAAGCAACTTTCAGGGAACAATGACAAACCTAACGGAAGAAACTTAACTTTTTTCAGAGGAGAAAAATAACTTACCGAAGAGCATTGGCAGCCTCTGCTGTGTGATAAAAGTGAGGTGGGCTGATGATAACAGAGCTGTCTAGCTTTTCAACCAGGAAGTTACAAACATCTTGCATTTTCCCAAAATCACTGAATGTAATGCACACCTACACATGAAAAAACAAGTTTTTCAGTACCTCAATTCCAAATTTACAGTTTAATAGTAGTTCGAACTGTTCTTACTTCATTTTTATTAATATAATTTAAATAATATCAATTAAAATGACAAATATATAAATAATAGTGCAAGATCAATTAAAATACAAATCTTCACAAAATTCAAAATAGTTTTAGAAGTTATCGTGTCAGTAAGAGTGCAATGCTTTCAGCTTTTCTAATTTCATCCTAATTTTTTTAAATGAAAGCTAAAATCCAATGTTTCAGAAGCAGGATGGGAAATGGATGTGCACACACTATTACTCTTAATGAAATAAACCTCTCTTGGAACACTGATAAGCTTAAAATTTGTAAAATCTCTGCAAAGTGCTTGAGATGATGCACTGTTCCAGTTATACAACTCTCCCAACACCAGTGTTGGTGGATTTACTCTTAACTGCATAACCTAAACAAGTAAAGTGCCTTTTTTATTTTATTAAAATATACCCTAAAAAAAAAAGAAGCTGTTTCAGGATATCACAACTGAGAGATATTGGTTTAAACCCAATGTGTTTTCCAAGAATGTAGCCACAATTGACATTTTCAACAGTTTAATAGCCATTTTCACTACTATATTCCATCCACTGGACTCCTGAGATTTGTTGTTTGAAAGGGGTACTTAAAATCCTGTTGTAGAGTTCCAATGCTACAGTTCAATGTTAAGAGTCGTGACAGTTAAAGCGGCATCAAAGATGTTTACAGCAACACCAGAGGCAATCAAAGTGGACAGCTTCTGGTCAAAGGAAATTTAGTATAATGCCAAGTTTTTAACTTTGTTTCTGTTTTTTTATACATTATAACTGTATTCTCAAATCCCTTCTGACATGATAAATAAAGAAAAGTAGTTAAGAAAGCTAGAAAAAGAAATGATTTTGAAATATTCACATTGGACTGGCTACTTTTTCTTACAAAAATTAACACGGTTTTATTGTCACAGCTCATACATAAATACTTGCCTCTGCTTCCATCTTGTAAACATTGTCTATTCTACTGAAGTTTTTTGTCACGGTCAAGTTGTTTTCCTAGGACAAAAAAACCCCAGCAATTTTAATTACAATATTCACATTTAATATCATTAATTTGCTTAACCTGTATTAAAGAACAAAAAAGTGGCCATGTCTTTTGAGAAAACCTAAAACAGCTTTAATAAAAGTGAGAATGTACTGCATCTAATTTTCATCATTTTTAAGAGTCATTGATAGCAAGATAGCTTTAGTTAGGTAAAAATCACTTATTTTATACTGATTTCAGTGAGGCTGCTCTAAAAATGGAACCAATCATAAATCAGGCTTGGGACAAATCTTTTCCCAATGGAATGGAATTCCATTCTATATTGTGGGAATGTGAGCATAATTTGAAGATGAAATAATCAAATCTATCATAAGCCAAAGTCAATGTTATTTTGTTCATATTGAACAAAGGAGGAAATTTAAAAATGATGAGTAACTGTCATAAGAAATCTGTAGTAATAACTTAAAGAAACTTACACAAACTTTCTTTAGGCGAAATCAAGATTCCAAACAATAAAGAACTGGGTTAATCTTTCCTCCAGTGCTTTCAGTTTCAAAACACCATTCAAAAAAATGTAAGTACTGTCCTCGTGTGGTCCTATGTATTATTGCAATGGCATGCGATAGCTAATACATGGAATATTACTATGAACCATCTTAAAGATTCTGCCAATTTTTCCACCTCCTTACTTCGTCCTTTTCAAAAATTCTTCATTTGATTCTCCATCTTTCTTAGCATCAGGAGAAGGCTTCTAAGGGCTGTATAAGAACTTATCCAGAGCTTATTTCTCACCAAATCAGATGTGTGACATCTGCTGACATCCCATCTTCCACACAACCTTTAAAGGTTTGGAAATTACCTCCAGTTTTGATTTGGGCAGCCAAGGAATACCAGGTGTTGTAGGCTACATTTCAGAGGAAGGAAATGGCATAAGTATCTCTTGAATAGTCTGTCTTAAAATAAACCCCTAAGAATGCATGCAAAAAGCAATTTGATGGTCCATAAACACACAATGATTCCCTATATCTGGAGGTGCTCTCAAATGTGAGGAAAACTTTTCTACTGCAGGTTGTGGGCTCTTTGGAATACTGATGATTATTCGATGAAGTACAAATTTTGGATACTGGCTATGTAAGCCTCAGCACGGTTTACCAACACTAAAAAAGTGTTCTAGTTGCAACTGCAGCATTAAAAATCATGTAGCATTATCTGAAGCCTTGAGCCCAAAATTTGGATATAGTTTAGGGTGTGCCTACACTGTAGAAGTGGCACAGCAGGTTAAACCACTGAGCTGCTGAACTTGCTGACCAAAAGGTTGGTGGTTTGAATCCAGGGAATATGTTGAGCTCCTGTTAGCCTCAGCTTCTGCCAATCTAGCAGTTTGAAAACATGCAAATGTGAGTAGATCAATAGGTACCTTTCCGGTGGGAAGTTAACGGTGCTCCATGCAATCATGCTGGCCACATGACCTAGGACAACACCGGATCTTCAGTTTAAAAATGGAGATGAGCCCCCCCCCCCCCCGAGTAAAACATAACTAGATTTAATGTCAGGGGAAACCTTTACCTTTACCCTGTAGAATGGATGCAGTTTGAAACCACTTTAACTAACATGACTCAGCGCTATGGAATCATGACAGGCATAATTTAAGAAAGCAGAGAAAGCTTAAGACCTAACAAACTGCCTCATATACAAAGCACAAAATTGGATTACATGGCAACACAGTCCCAGCCTTAGTCGTTTCTGTCGAGGAGGGTTGATGCCTCTTTTGTTTTTAACAGTTTTAAAGGATTTTAACTGTTTATTTTTAATACCATTGAATACATTTAATTCTGTTTTAATGTTTGTATATTTTTAGATTTTAAATTGTATTCCATTTGGGTTTTACTGTAAATCACTCTGAATATCTTTTGTAGAGAGATAAAGCGGGGAAGAGATATTTATTTATTTACAGTATTTATATTCCAGCCTTCTCACCTCGCAGGGGCTCAGGGCGGATTACAACGTACACATATATGGCAAACATTCAATGCCAAGACACACAACATAGACAAGACAGTCAGAGGCTATTTAACTTTTTCTGGCTGCCAGGGGAGCTGTCGCTTTCATCGTCCATCTGCGACACTGATGAAGTGCTTCCGCATTCCCCACATGCTTTTTGCTGGAGTGCATTGCTAGAGTCTTAATGGTTAAATTAGCCTCCCCACACATAGGTGGTACCTAAATTTCCTACTTGACAGATGCAACTGTCTTTCGGGTTGCAAAGGTCGACAACGAGCTACACAATTGGTCGGACACTCACTCCGACCCGGGCTGGCTTCGAACTCATGACCTTTTGGTCAGTAGTGATCTTAATGCAGCTGACACTCAGCCAGCTGCGCCACAATCCCACATGATGATGATGCCTCACCAAACTACAAAGCCCGGGATTCCATAGCAATGAAGCATGGCAGTGAAAGTGTCAGATTTCATTCATTCTGTAGTATAGACCAGGCCTGGCAAAATTTGCCCCTTCCTCCAGGTGTGTTGAACTTCAGCTCCGACACTTCCTAACAGCTTCATCTTATGCGGCTGAGGGGGAAAAGGAAAGGGCCTGAGGCTGTCAGGAATTGTGGGAGTTGAAGTCCGAAATACCTGGAGGGAGGGCCCAAGTTGGACCAGGCCTGGCCGAGACGCAGGTGAAGAAGCTGAACTCAACTGCGCATCCGTCATCACTCAATGAAGCTCTCATTAGCTTAGAGGGAAAAGGTTTTGTGGGAAACGCGAGGCCTCCGTGTTTTGGACTTCACTTCCCAGAAGCCTCTGTTGCCCTGCCCGACTATCAGGGATTCTGGGAGCTGAAGTCCACAGCAGCCAGAGGACCAGATCTGGGAATCCCTGCTTCAAAGGCCCGGGACTACTTCTCCAGAGGCCTGCCCCACGCACCAAAGCCTCTCCGCGCTGCCGGGCCGCCTGGGTGATGTAGTCCAGCCTCCGGGAGACGCTGCTTCTCGCCGCCGCGGCCTCCGCTTTCCGGCTGCTCAACCGGATCGTCACTTGGGCCCGGTCCGGCCGGGCACTGAGCTCCGCGCTGCCGCTGACGTGAACCTCCCGGGTCCCGGGCGGCAACAAAGCTCCCTTCGCCTCGCCCGGCTGGTTCTCATTGTCAACGACGGGATGTGGGGCCAACTCCGCAAAGACCCGCGCCGGAGAAAGAGCAGGCCGCGGCATCACCCACGCCGAGGAAGGGGGCCCGGAGCGAACTAGGCCGCGAGTCAGGCGGGCGCCATGGCAACGGGCGCGCGCCTCCTCGCAAAGCATCGCGGGCACAAACAGAGCCAAGAGCGGCGGGGGAGGGGGGAGGTCACGTGGCCTCGCCTGAGCTGGGAACGTCCCCTTCCAGCCTGCCGTGGCTATCTATCCCATGATGCCTTGCGCCGTCATCCATTGGTTTCTGGCTGTGCCCTCAAGATGCACGTCTGCTAATGGCGCCATCACAGGGTTTGCTTAATTGAGGAATACTCGGAGGTGCTTTTGCCAGTCCCTTCCTCTGAAATAGAGCACATGTTGGCCATACCTTTCAGGGCAAACTCCAAGAAGAAGAAGAACTTTATTTTTCTACCCCGCCTCCATCTCCCTCAAGGGACTCGGGAGGCTTACATGGGGCCCAAGCCCAAGGCAGAATACAATTAAAAACAAAGTAATAACAATGAAGACAGCGTAAAACAACATAACAATAATAGCTAGCAACAACAATAACAGCAGACTAATTTTGGAGTGGGGGGAAGGAAAACCATTACGTGAACTGGTTAAAGGATAAGGTGGTTTAGTAAGGTGGATAACTATGTATAACGGCATAGGAAATACCATGGAAGCAGAGCAAATTAACAGGATCAGTTAATATAATATAGGACATCAGATTGAATGACAATTCAAGTCATGATACTGGCCATTTGTCATAGGAGTCGTTAATCGAAAGCACGACAAAGCATCCATATCTTTAATTCCTTACGGAATGTGGCTAGGGAGGGTGCCCGTCTAATCTCCCTGGGGAGGGAGTTCCAGAGACGGGGGCCACCACCGAGAATGCCCTCTCTCTCGTCCCCACCAACCATGCCTGAGACAGGGGTGGGAGAGAGAGAAGAGCATCCCTGGAAGATCTTATAGACCATGTGGGCTCGTAAGTGTCTAGGACTGTGTGATGTATCGTTGAATAATGTGTTCAGATCCCAGTAGGGTAGCCTTTTGCAGCTGACAGATGATAATTTTGTTCGCGCCAATTGTGTTTAAGTGCAGGCCAAGGTCTTTAGACACTGCACCCAATGTGCCAGTTACCAGCGGGGTCACCTTTACTGGCTTATGCCAGAGTCTGTGCTTTATTATTATTATTATTATTATTATTATTATTATTATTATTATTATTATGTTTATATCCTGCTTTTTTCTCCATATGGAGACTCAAAGGCACAGCTGAATAAAACCCCACATTTTATTCTTTGAACTGTGGACTCAGATAACCCAGTTCAAAGCAGTTATGGTAAGATTTTCTGCCTTGATATTATGGGTTATATGGCGGTATGGAAAGGCCCAAGGCAACTCACAAGTAAAGCGTTGCAATACAAATTAAAATGTACAAATATATAAGTATTAAAACAGTATTGAACATCATTAAAAGCATATAAAACCACAGCACACCCTGACATGATCTTATAAATATTCTTTAAGAGCCTGTTTGAATAGAAAGGTTTTAACCTGCCACCTGAAGGACAGCAGAGAAGGGCCATTCAAGCTTCCCTGGGAAGAAGGGAGTTCTAGAGTCAAGGCGCAGCCGCCAAGAAGGAAGGCCCTCTCTTGTTTCCACCAGCCAAGCTTGAGATGGAGGTGGGACAGAGAGAAGAGCCTCCCCTGAAGATCTCACGGCCCAGGCAGGTATGAGTCTATACATTATGTAGTATTTTAAAGGTGCATCTTGCCATCGATATATGTAGCATTTTAATGATTTATAGGATTTTATTGTGTATTTTACATCGTATTTAATAATCTGGTGTTCATGTATTTATTTATTTGCCTTGCCTTGTATGTGAAAGACCTATGGTCTAAGCATCGAATAAACTACTACAAGGGAATGCGGTTGACGAAATAGCCTGGAACTGAACCATCTAGGGCTTTAAAGGTCATAACCAGCACTTTGAATTGTGCCCGGAAATAGACTGTCAGCCAGTGGAGCTGCTGCAACAGGGGGGTTGTCTGTTCTCTGTAGCCATCCCCAGTCAGCAACCTGGCTGCAGCTCTTTGAACCAGCTGAAGTTTCCGTAGAATGAGTTACAGTAATCCAGGCGGGATGTAACTGAGGCATATACCACCATGGCCAGATCTGGCTTCTCAAGGAACGGGTGCAGTTGGCACACAAGTTTTAATTGTGCAAAGGCGCTCCTGGCCACCATCAATACCTGGGCCTCCAGGTTCAGTGCTGAGTCCAGGAGAACCCCTAAACCACGGACTTGTGTCTTCAGAGGGAGTGTAACCCCATCCAGCACAGGCTGGATCCAGCCTGGATCCAGCACAGGCTGGATTCCTAGAACATAGGTTCTGTGGTTTTGTTCTTCAGTTCAATTTGTATGTAAGTTGAAACATATACAGCCAAATACTGTATATCTAAAAGCTTTGGATACCACAGGGAAGGGTGTTTTGTCTCAGTTCAGAAGATTTCTCTTCACTTTCTGTCCCTTTTGGGAACAAGGATTGGTGACAAAACTTCAGTGGAGACAACTTTTCCCCATAATAACTTTTTCAAGGGGTGAATTTTCTTTGGATGGGGAGATTTCTCTCACTTCATGTTGTCTCATCCCTGTTCTAAACTATGAATTGTTTGTAAGTTGGATGTTTGTAACTCAGGGACTGCATGTATTCAGGTGTTTCAAGCTTTACTAGTTTATTCACTTGAAAAACAGTTTCTTGCTTTACAGTGATGTTTAAGTAGGGAATATATGACTGGCAAGAAGTTATCAACCTTCCACTCATGAGGGAACTGTGTTGGCTTGGTCAACCTCTGGACATTTGTAGATCCTTCAGTATGATTCTGTGGTCAGCCTTGGGCAAAGGTTGACCATAGAATTGTGCATGACCTTACAAAAATATTTTTATCAATGGTTTCCTCACTTCAGTGGGGGTCCTACATCCCTTTTCCTCTCAAAAATAGAGCTGTAGTTTTCCTCGTTGCTTACAACTCTGTCTTCTTTTTTCCTTTATTAAAACTTCAACGGGAGAACAGTACTTCTCACCATGATTTCCTACTGTTGACAGGAACACAGCAGGGTTTTGAACGCATTAGAAATCTTGACATTGGAATATTCTGGACATTATGAGTAGAACTGTCATTTTACAGAGATTCAAGTTGTTCAGTCTGTTGCTTTGTAATTCTAGTTTATGATGTGGTGATGATTAGCCATTTCACAAATGATAGCTGTGAAAATATCTATGATACAAAGGAAAGAAAGAAGCTGCAAATAATGTTATTTGTAATTTGAGCATTGACAGTTCTTTCTAAGACAAAAAGGAATATTATAACAGGTTGAAGTCATCAATAACTGAACAGTGAGATGATGATTTTCTTGGCTTTAAGAACATATTGTTCCATGGCTCATTTATTTTTTAAAAATGAAGCTTTGTTGTGCTCCATCCTAGTAAGAAAGGTGTAACTAAATTATGTTTCAGTTGTGATTTATCAACTGCTTACTCCTTTGTGTCACAAGTGTGAGTTTTTGTATCTCTTGCCAAGTCTCATGGTCGTTGCTGCATTCGTACACACATATATGCACAATCCTTGAAATCACTAGAACATGTAGATATCATTGAAAGTTTGGAAACTTTCAATGATATCTAAATGCCTGATCTAGACACATTGGTCTAAATCAGGCATGGGCAAACTTTGGCCCTCTGGGTGTTTTGGACTTAAACTCCCACAATTCCTAACAGCCTAACGGCTGTTAAGAATTACAAGAGTTGAAGTCAAAAACAACTGGAGGGCCAAAGTTTGCCCATACCTGGTCTAAATCCTATTGCTAGTCCTGACTAGAGTAGAACTGTAGAATCAATTGAATTTATCTTCTGTAATTGCTGATTCACAATTTTAAGAATGTATTCAAAAATGCCCTAAATTAGGACTAACAACCATGCATGATTAATTTTAACAATTCTGGTTTAATTGCATTTTAATATCTATGTGTTGTAGGCTTTAAAATTGCATTGCTTTTAATGTTGTGAACGATGTTGGGTCTCAGTTAACAGAGGAAAGTGGAGTAACATGGACCTATGAAAGAGTGAACATGGAATGGCCTAGACAATGCTACTGGAAAATGAGATTAATAGGAAGGCATTGGTGATTATTATGGCATTAAATTGCTGCCAATTTGTAAGCCGCCTTGAGTTGCCTTCGGGCTGAGAAAGGCAGGATAGAAATATTGTAAATAAATAAATAAATAAATAATAGCAACAATAATAGCAACAACAAACAGAATATTGAGCATTTTTAAGAAATCTGATTAAAGAATTAATTGTAAATAAAAACATTTATTCTGCATGTACAACCAACACCAGCAATAATGTACTATAGTAATGAAGTATTAAATGATGGTACTATCAATTACTGTGAGATTATCAAAGGGTCATTTTATGTGTCTTTCTGTAATTTACGAAGTACTAATATTCTGACTAGTTAGCATAACTCATTTCAATGTAAGCCAAATTTTGTAAACTCTTCTATTAAAATATTTGAAGTGATATGTTGATTTCCAGATATGAGTCCATCATAAAATAATTGTTTGTTTCTTGTTCTTTCTAAATGGCGTTAATCTCTATGAAAACTGCTGTTAATAGAAAAGTCACTGTAGGTTTTGTTGTACCTCAATTTCCATGTTGATACAGGTGCTGTGGGCACCGCAGGAGGAAAAATTGATCCTTCTCTGGTACAGTTTCCTTCTCTGCTGTAAACAGACAAGAATGCTTATATGATGCTGTATGCTTGTTTGATTGCTTTGTCATTTAGCGTGATCACTGAAGCGTGTTTAAAAAGACGTTATAGAACCTTTCAGAATATCAATACCAACATTAGTTATTTGGTCTATGTTTTGCTTTTGCTTAAGATGTGGCTGGGGGAATGCTTAAAGCTAGTGCATTAAAGAAAAAATGAAAGTAGCTTTTGATTGCTTGGAAATTACAGCAAGATAGCAATTGCAGAGTGTTCGCTGAATGCGAAAGATGGTTGATTTTTGTTGTACCGGGAAGCTGTGTTCTGTTGTGCTTTTTCAACTTTAATTATTCTATGATCCACTGCAG